CAATTGATCCTCTTTGGAATAGATCAATTGGTTATTCTCTCCATAGTAAAATTAAAGAAAAAACATAAAGGAACCAATCGATCCTTTTTGGATATGATTGATCAGGTATTCATCCAGTAGCTAAAATTTAGAAATGTGAAGAATCGATCGATCTCTTTCAAAATCAATCGATCGGTTTAATGTAAAACCATAATTAATCGATCCCTCATCTTAACCGATCGATCGGGTCATGCTTTTTTGGCACTATACGTACCATTTTGGTGTGATAAAATTGGGTCCCCTTCTCTTTTAGCCAATCATTTCAGCTTTTTGACCTATTCTTCTTCTTTCTCAAACTCATTCTCTTTAAACCCTAATAACTATCACTCATTTTTCACTCAAAATTGATCCCTCTTAGTAAAATATTTTGCAAATTCCTTTATTTCAACTTGATTTCTTGTAAAATTCATCCTTGAAAACCATCAAATCACACAAAAATTGATACCCATCTTTTCACTTTAGAAAGTTGATCTCCTTTTGAAACTACCACATTCACTCATATTTTTTACCTCTTTCACACATATTTTACTCTTTATTATCTATAATAACCAATTCTCTCATCAATTTCACATCAACCTACCTACCTTCATTATCCTATCATCTTCATAGCTCTCAAGACTAAAGTAAGTGTTGAAAAAAAAAAGAATCCCTTAAGGGAGGCATTTAGCTCATTAATAAAGCCTTCCTTCAATCAAAATTTTATCAATCCAGATACGAAGAAAAGATATGAGACATATTTTACACATAGAGAAGTGAAGTATGAAAAGGTAATTTCACTTGAATTCTTACAATCTATAAAATTTTCTTACTTACATACTTTTGAGAGATTTGGATGGCTAAATTACTTATGCATGGATAACCTTTTATTTAAGAATTTAGTAAAAGTATTTTATAGCAATGCTAGTTGTATTCAAATTGAAGGGTCACATAGGTACTATCTTGATAGATTTAGAATATATGTAATAAAAAAAATTATGATTACCAAGCAATTATCAACTGAAACATTCATGCTAGATGATGAGAGAAAAACCAATACTAGGTGTGACATGGTGGAGCTTATTCAAAATATTTTTAAAACTAACAATTTACAAGTTACTCTCACTCAAACTTCTAGGTTGTCAATGCATGATAGATTGCTACATGTTATTATCACTCATGTGTTGATACCTTTTGGCACATAATACTCTACCATTAAGAAGCAAGATTATTGATGGATGTATAAGATCAAGTATTAACAAAAATCAAATTTGGTGTATTTCAATTTCAATGATATGATGAGGGTAATGCAGAATATAGACTACGCCTTAGTATATGAGTTTGCCATTAGTAATCTTTTGAAAAAATTGGATGTCAATATTAAAAGAGATAAGGAGATGATGTTCAATAACCCATTTAGTGTTCTTGGTACTCCTACTTTGCACAATATAGGATATGTTCAAAATGCATCAGGTTTATAGGTTAAAAAGATTGATATTGGGGCTACACAAGAAGAGAGAAAAGAACATGAACCTTCAGATATTTCTGAACCTCAAAAAGAACTTTCTACCACATCATTTAACACTCAAAGAGCCTTAGAAGTGCTCATGCTTCAAATAAACAGTTTGCATTCTATGGTTAAGAGTATGAACACTCAATTGAAAAATATGAAAAAAACTCAAAATGAGCTAGTTGTCTAAGTTCGTCAAATTAGAGCTGACATTGAGCAAATGCAATCTATATAATAGCACATGGGGTAGCCTTTCCCTCATTTTTCTCATCCTCATCAATCTCTTTATTCTCCACCTCCTTCTTAATGAGCTTTCTTAGTGCCAGTTCTCATGTTTTTTCATATCTTTTTATGTTGTAAATATGTCTTTAAAACACTTTGTATTGTGGTTTGTATTAAACTTTGGTATTGATGTTTATATTAATGAAATCTATCTTTCATCCTTATATGGCTTATGACATTGTAGTTTTGACATTGTGGCTTGTGAAATTGATGATTGATATATTGCTTGCAATTGAGTTAGTGTAGCCTTAAATTGATTGTTCTCTCACTTTGCTTCACTTCATCTTTTTTGATATTACAAAAAAAAAGAGAGAGATAATGGCATGAAAAATTGCTTTAATGATATTAATAGTATTGATAATCTTAATGATTTTGATGGCATGAACAAATTTTATGATGATATTGACATTGGTTTTGCTTTTAGTTACCTTAAAATTTATGCTTAAATTTGAGGGAGCTTGTTTTTCAAATGAAAAAATATTTTTAAGCAAAATTTTCACTTGGTTTTGTCATATCAAAAAGGGGGAGATTGTTGACCTTGAATTGATTAAAAGTTTTGATTTGACAAAGTAAAAATTTGCCTAACTTGAATCAATCTCTCTTAATCTTAAATTGAACATTTTTTTCACCCTTCTATCTTACTAAAAGTCATTTACGAACTAAAACAAGATAATTCTCGAAACAAAATGGATTAATGCATGTTTTGATAGAAGGGATCGATCCATTCCCTTACTAAATCGATCCCTTAGCAAAGGGATCAATCCATTTTTCTTTCAGAAGTAAATTTTGTGAAATTTTGGTAAGAATCAATTGATCTCTTCCCTGTAAGGATTGATTGGTTATGATTTTAAGCTTACCCGATTAATCCCTTCTTTAAAACAATTGATCACTTTTTATACAGAATGCTTTTCTCGTTCAAATTTTTAGAAAAAAAGATCGATCCTCCCACATAGGGGATCGATCACCTAGGCATGGGATCGATCCCTCCACTAAAAGGATCGATTTGTTTTGAAACAAAAATATTTTCTTGTTTGAAAATGAGCAAAAGGGATTAATCCCCCCACATAAGAGATTGATCACCTAAGGAATGGATTGATCAGGTGCATTATCAAATCGATCAGGTAAGGCCTTTTATGTATAATTTTGGGATGTTTCAAAGCTGACCCAATCGATCCCCTAAATGAGGGGATCGATCTCCCCACATAAGGGATTGATCACCTAAGAAATGGATCGATCAAGTGCTTTATTTGATCAATCAGGTAAGGCCTTTTATGCATAATTTTGGGGTGTTTCAAAGTTGACCCAATCAATCCCCTAAATGAAGGGATCGATCCCATAAGTCTTAGAAAGCCCCAACAGCTATATTTTGTCTGAAATTTTACAGGTTTGAAGCATTAAATGCAAGGCAACGACTTTCAACTTCTTCTTACCTATAAATGAAACCTTTCACTACATAACGAAAGTAAAAAGAGCTAAGAAAACTTACTACTATTTATCAACCAACTTGTTCAAGCATTCAAAGCTATTCAAAGAGAGAAAAGTACAAAAAATCCTACTCATATCAGTTTTTCTCTAAATTTTTTTGTCTATACTGTTGTGTACTTCAAATTAGCAAACACATAACCTTTGAGAGGTTTTTAAAGTTTACAAAATACTTCAAAATTTTTGTATTGTGAGTTTGTGAGCTTAAGAGGAAGGATAACCCTTAAGAGTTTATAATGTTGATTGTGTAAAGCTTTGAGAAGCTAGGTTGTATCCTTCAACATATAGTGGATTGAACTCCTTGGCAAGTAAGGCTAAGAGAGCGGACATAGGTGCCTAAAGAAAGGATCGAACCTTTATAAATTTTGGTGTCCAATTCTCTATCTTTATCTCTTATTTACTTCATTTATTGTGCTTATTTGCTTAGATAAATTGTTTTGCTGAATTTGTGATTATTAAGTATTGATTTTGAAAATTTTATTACAACCAATTCACTCCCTTTTTGGTTATTTCAAGTTTTTTGAGCTAACAGATAATACATAATTTTTTTAAATATATATTTAATTATAAATTTTTTATAACAAAAAAATTGAAATCTCTAATTTTTATGACAATATAAGGTGTTTAAGCTTCGATTAGTATGTATACACATGCATGAGTCATTGATGTCCTCATTCTTATTTGATTATATGTCAGAATGAAAATGATCAAGTTCTCACACATGCATGAAATAAAAATATTTTTATCTTGAATCTAGAAAATTAAGAATTCTATTTTACCCATGCAAATCAAAAAATAATATTCTCAATTTCAGTTCTATGTATACACATAATTAAGTAAATAGGTGTATAATTAAGTAAATAAGTGTATATGCACGTCATTAAAATTTTTATTAAAAATGAAATCGAATTTATTAGATATAGAGATTCGAGAAACCTTATATTTTCTTAAATATTTATTTTTTAAAAGACTTAAGATTTCTCAAAAATGAATATTCGATAAGATATGAGACTTTTCAAATTTTTATATCCAAAAAATTTTGAGGTCTTTCAAAAATAAATATTTAAAAATTTTTAAAATTTCTTGAATATTCATTTTCGAGAAACTTTAAAGTTTTTTAAATATTTATTTTTGAGAAATTTAATTTTAGAAAGTAAAAAGAGAAGAAAAAAGAAAGGATAAAAATAAAAAATAGAAAGTGAGGGATAAGATGTGTTTAATAGAAATAAAAAATTTAATTTTGAATTTGGGTTATATATAAAAGTAAGGTGTATATACATTAAATAGGATGTAAATAGAATATCCCCAAAAAAAAAATTAAAGAATTTATAATAATTTCACCAATTTACCCTCCGGATGATAATAATAAATAAATAAAAGTAAAAATTAAATCTTTCTCCTAAAAAGGACATATTCGTTTTCATATTCGTTTTCTCATAAATTGCAACTAAATCAATGAATGAGCAACAAAAAGTAAATCAAGAGACTTTCCTGAAAGATATTTGAAAAGATTTCCGTTTCACACGGTACATTTCTTTGTTTTAAAAATCCACAAGCATTTTAGATTCTTTTGCTCTCCCGAGAGAATAATATAATAAGATAAATATATACTTTTTTGTTTGTAAAGAAAACGAAAAGGAGAGATAGGCAAATGTTGGAGGAAAAGGAGAAATCTTGTATTTTAGCAGGAGAACTAGTTGGAGTAAATGTGGGTCTTGCTTGCTTTGATGGAATTATTGCTATTCTTGCTTTTACTCAGGTTTGATTGTTATTCTTTTTTTTATTTCTTTTGTTACAAATCTAATTTTTTTAATGTTTAATGAGTTTTTGATTGATGAATAGTTTGTAATATGGGATAAAGGGGTAGCAATGTGTTTTAGGATTGTTTCCATCTGGGTTTTACATTCAACATATTGTCATTATATTTGTTTTCTAGTAATTCGAGGTGTTTTATTTTATCTAGCTCTTTGTTAGCTGGAGAAATATTAGTCCAACCAGGCTGCTGAACGTAATTGTTGGCTTTGTTGATGACACAAGTTCAAGCTGGTTGAATAGGCAACTCTTGGATTCAATAAATAGACTGTCTTCTGCCAAGCTTCCTATATCTTTATGCGCCATATACTAAGTATCATTTTTATATTTTTGGCTAAAAGTGATAAATATTGGTGAATTGTGCTTGCTCCTATATAAATTTAAGAAAATTCTCCATATTCAGGTTCAATCAATAATGGAAACCTAGTAAGATGAAGCAATATATGCTGTTGTTTTCTCTTGGGGAATATTTTTTTAAGCCTGGAAGGAAGACAACCTTATTTATTCAATTTTTGGTTGACAACATGTCATTGCTGTTTTCACGAAACCAAGACAGAATTACAAATTTGGTGCAATAGTTCGGTTGTTGATCATTATACTGAAAATTAGGCAGCGGCATAGCTTGCACATTAATGAAAGTTACATTTTTTTAAAATCCAAAATGCACATGATCCTGGCAATTCATGAATAGTATGTGGTACGAATGGTTGGTTAGTTGGTTCTTATGGAATAAGGAGGGTCAGCTTTACACTTTTTCATGGATTTGGTATGCTAAATTTAAATATGAAAATTGCTGGTTGAGTGAGCATGATTAGCCAACTCAAGTTCTTTTTACTAATTTGGAAGAACAATGTAAATTATAATGAGCTTGAATTGAGCTCAATCTGAGCATTTCTCAAACTTAATTATTGAGCTTTCATGGTTATCTTGATGTGTGGCTTAGATTTTTTTCAGTTGCAACCTTATTTCTTTTTCAATTGATAACTTAGCTAAAATTCTACTTTTGTAGTCCAACTCCATCTTTTTGCTTGCAACTGTATTTGTTACTGAAAAGCATTGTTTGTTTGAGCTGCTGTAATCTCCACATCCTTCAAGATTACATTGCATTCTATTTTTATTCTCCGGATATGTTCAAGATCTGCTGTTTTTACGTTGCATTTTATTCATTTATCTTGTCATATATCTTGAGTACCATTTTGTGGTATTGAAAAATATATCAATCTGCACTTAGCTGTCTTGGATTGCAATATTGGCTTTATGTGTATCAAAGTGGTGAATTTTACATGCGTACACATCATGCAAGGTGGTAGGGATTATGCATATGTGCTGGTAGATATATCTGTCTTTTTGTAGACACTAAAACCCAGGGTAATATGGTACATCAGAATTCATTAGTGTGATGCTACTAATGGTTATGGAGATTTTATTTCTTTATTTTTTTTTTCTGAGTTTTTGTTTGTAATGAACATTTACTCTCACCACTTTGTGGTCAGCTAGCACGGATTCACTCAAGGAATTCACAGCTAGGATGGACCCGCCAAAAAGTAAGTTTTATAAATTACTTTCTGTGACTTTTTAGTTGAATTAAAAGATTTCTATTTGAATGTAAACTATTTCATAGGCTAGCTAGTTTAACACAATGTCATCAGACCAGCTGGTCAAGTGGGGACTTGCACCTTGATCTGATCTGTGTGAGTCATCTGACCCTTTAAGGCAGAACCTGGGAAAATTGTCTGAACAGAAAGAAATTTTGGTGACTCTTCTGACACTGCTTGACTTGAACTTGGAGAAACAGGTAGGTTGAAATTAAGTTGCAGCTACAGCATTCATCAGTTCTTAAAGTTTTGAGCCCAGGAGTTTGTAGTAGGCCTTGGAGGAGAAACCTATTTGACCAACATTTCCTGGACTTCAATGCTTGCTTTTGTAATTTCTACACTTCTTGCAAGTATCAGAAATTTTGTGTATGCCCCTAACACTGGCAGAAAACTCTACGTTGGACTCCTGTACTTTTTTTAATTTTGTAAGTTTGTAGCCGATGAGGAAAGTGTGATAAAACATAAATTATTTACTAAAAGAATTTGATATAAGTTGTTTAGTGACCAGCCTTGGGAACTAAGAACCTTAATGAGTAACAATGTAGCTAAATCATTAATCTATTATCTGGCCTTTGTACTGGGATGATTAGGAAACATGCTGTACCATCCTGGAATTAGAGATGATTAAACTTATCTATGGTCCAGTGGAGGCAGAAGATAGAGTTAGGGTTGATGTCAAGTCAATGTTCAGTAAGGTCCATGTATTGGTGTCAAGTCAATGTTCGGTAAGGTCCATGTTCGGTAAGATAGTGTTGGGGTTGATGTCAAGTCAATGTTCAGTAATGTACGTGTATTGGTGTGCATATATGTAAATGATTTATGATAATGCTTTTTTTTTTTTCTTCTTTTCTCCTTTTCCTCCTCTTTCTTTCTTTTCTAATTCATGGTACATCTAACTTACTATGTTGGTTGGCCGAAAAAAAAGAGTTACTATGTTGATTTCTATTTCCAAATGTATTGACTTGTTCTTGACCGAAATGAATGTGAATAACAGGTGTTTCATTTACTGATTGGGTCTACCAATGCTGGTAAGAATTTTTATTTTACACTTATGTTGACCCGTTGGCCTTATATGCGTAGGTTGATTTGAATCACATCTCTGATTCAAATTGAATTGCCAAATTCTCATCTACCTGCAGGTTACTTCGTTTATTTTGTCTTGACTCTCGTTGCTGCATGCCGAGGATGGCTATGCTGGTCATACTCTTGTGGCTTTGTAGCCATGGGTATGTGTAGATGCTCGTAATAAGACCTCAATTCTTTCTTTCACTGCAGCAGATTAGTTTAAGTATTAATTGCTGCAAATATGTGTGCTGCAGCCTTCCCCAGAATTCTTTTCTTTGCAACATTTCTTCTACTTTTGTCATTCTGGTATGTTTCCTCAGTAACTTATTTACATTTTCTTTGTGTGAAATATGATCATGTATCTTAGATAACTTTTTCAAATGCAAGGAAAACGTGCTCTCTAAAGATTGGAGATATTTGCAAGAATCAAGATATGCAGCTTTCCTTTATTTTTGTTTTTGTTTCTAGTAAAAGGAAATAGAAAAAGGAAAAGGGAGATCGAATTTAGTGCTTGACTTTAAATCATCATGTCTTAATCAATCAATGTACCAGAGAGCTTTCTCTTTTCTTCTTTTCCCAGGGTCATCCAATGCAATGGTACTGAAGCTTTTTCATAAATCAGGATAATATACTTTGCTAGTTTTAGTTACTTTGAAGTTTTCATATTTTCTGTCAAAGTGAAAATTAGTGTTTCTTCATCAGCTGTACCCCATGTCTCTGTGGCGGATTTTTTATAGGGTCGACCTTTGCCACCAGGCAGATGATGAAGAGGAAGAGGATGTTGAACAGGGCTTTCTAGAAGCTTTACTACAAAATTCTTTAAATAGACCTAGGTCATCAATCGCAGATGGTTACAGAATATGTTATCCTTTCCGTTTAATTCATATTGGAAGCCGTCAAAAAGTAGTGATTCTGGTATAGTGATATAGTTTCTTTTGTTTCTTATCATGGTTTTTATGTGTAATTATTTTGAATGTTTCTATAATACTTTCCTGTTGTGTCATTTTGCAAAACCTAATGCTTATGAACTCATTAATTCTGTTTTTATCTGACCAGGTTACTGTTCTTGTATTTCTTTTTATGATGACATTTTCTGTGCTAATCTGGATTCGAATGGAAGATAATCCTATTGATTCATCAACTGTGGCTCGGGTATGAACTTCTAACGAGCTAATTTTGTTTTAACTATTATTGTTTTCTTAGAGCACCATCTGTAAGTTTCTGATTATCAGACAGAAGGTTACAGTGAAGCTAGTGTCTACGTTTTTTTTCTTTTAGTTCATTGGTTTGAAAATAACAAAAGACAATGACACTTGTGTTTTATGGAATTTCTTTGTGTTCTTTTATTTCTTTCTTCTAGTGAAGCCATGAAGTACTGACTGTCTATCTCATTCAGGTTTATGTAGATCTTTTTGCTGTGGCAATACTACTATTAGGTGGAGCGTTAGCATGTTATGGTAAGCAGCTAGCAATTTATATGGACTATTCTTTTTCATAATATTAGTTTTTCTTTTTGCATTGCTTGAAGATTTTGTCCCTTAATGTAATAACTTAGTGAATGCAAAAATGCCTAACATCAGGCTAACCAGATATTCTTGTTCCTTGTTATTTGTGAACCAAATACTAGAAGTCACACTTGTGAGCCTCCAACCCATAGTATCTAACATCTTGCATGTGTAGATTATTTGATAGATCAGTATCGGAGCCTGAGCAACATTAATTAGAGAAGTTAATTCAACTTCTAGTTTAATGGGTGATATGACATAAGGTTGGCCTAAATGCCTGACAAATTTTGCTGGTTAGTCTCTGGGATTGATTGACTAATTCGTTCTTTTTAAGTGTTACTAGAATAGATGATTCTTTTATATTACATATTTTCTTCTCTTAGAGATACTCATGGTTTTATTTGTTTCTTCCTTTCTCATGCTTAGGGCTCCTATTGTGTCAGAAAATGAGGAATGTTAGATCTGAAAGAGCTTCATCTGAAATTTGGAAGGTGTTATCATATTATCCTTTATGCTTTTGTGTCATTCTCTACGGTCTTGTCATGTTGGTCTCAATTTAGAAGATATACTATTCTTTCACCTTTATGTTAACATTTGATGCATTTATCTTTTTTCAAAATCTGGTGGCTTTATAGTTATATTATTTCTGTGCCTTAGTTATTTCATGATGTTGTGTTGAGATATATGATTTCTGTAGGTTGCAGGTTTGGCCATTGTATCTGTTCTATGTTTCACATCAAGTGCTTTTGTGGCTCTTTTCACTGATATTCCGGTACACGGCTCCCTATTGGTTGTTTGTTCTATGCTTTATTTTCTAACTTCATAAACTTAATTGTGTTTTCGTGATTGCAGGTGCTTTATCACTGGCATGAACTGCACATAAATGGTGTTTATACTTCTCTTTTACTGATTTTATATTATTTTATAGGTACTTGATTCAACTTTTCCCTTAAGTTTGCTAAATCTGCTGCAAATTAACTAAAGGCTTTTGATTGTCGATTTATGAAGATCTGTTTTTAGGGCGTGGAATATCCTAAATATTTTGTACCATCAATCCATATCTAGCATTAATTCTTTATTAGAAATATTTCATGTGTATTTTGATGTTTCTGAATATTCAGCCTCATCTGCAATCTGAAGTTATAGAGATCAAGTTCATGGAAGATAAATTTGATGGGTATAAGAACCTTCATCTTACCATACTTGGATAATAGACGTTGTATGAGAAATTGGGATATATCTAGGGAAAAAGGAGTTTTAAAACCTGGCAGATATTCATGTAAACTTTTTATCTTAATAGAATGACTTGGGTGATCTGGGAGGTTGGACAGTTAGAATTTCGAATTAAGCATGTTGCACCAAAGTACAAAACACTATGGTATTAGAGATGTGCCTTAACATCCGTTATCCATCTACTCTGTTCAGACTGAGGAATAATTTTTACGTGACAATAGAAAATATTGTTGTTGCATTCATATTATCATCCAACTATATTGATTCCTGAACTTATGGATGGAATGGTGAAATGGCAATTGCCATGGTTATGCCCTGTTGACAACAGAAGTTGAAATAAGGCTATGATGAAAACATTGAAAGAGATAAACGCTGCTGCCCTATATTTTTGTCCCCATCATCAGTGCTGCTTTATGGAAAAAGTAGGTCGTAATGTCAAGTTTATGATGTGATGTTCATTTTGTTTTTCTAGGTTCATCAGTGCCCTCAGCTTTTGTATTATGGGTCATGAGAGAATTACCACCTATGTCAATAGCTAACATACCAGGGGAATCAACAACAATAACTTTTATTACTGATAGTTCAGCTGAAGTCCACCATCCACAGGGCTGGACAACTGCAGCAAGCTCACAGAATCAGGTTCACATCTCTTTTTGTCTTTATATTAGATTTATACAGAATTTGCTTATTCATGTGTATTTCTGTTCTCTGTGTCAGCCTGATCTTTCAAATTTCACTTGTTTTTATATGAGATACATGGTCTTTCTATCGCTCCCTACTTGTATTGGGAATGTCGTAGCATCATATTATCTTCATATCAGATATACCTCGGAGAGTTGTTCTGATTTAGTCAGGGATTGGTTGGTACAAATATTGCCCAAACGCCAATTCCATTCATTGATAATTGAGAATTGAAAATGATCTTTTGTGCCAATGCATGTTTAAAAATGTGAAGATTGAATAATGTCTGCGGTTCTTTCAGTTCTGAAAAATATCATTCCTCTAATATCTATACAACAATAGGTAATTAATAAGGGGGGTAGTGTACCTATCCACATTGGAAAATAGTGACTAAACCTTACATCAGTTCAATATATTTTTAATTGAATATTTCTGAAGAATGGTTCTAGATTGCTGTACAATGCCAGTTTAAAATGATAAAATGATATGTGCGGTGCAACGAACATAATATTGTATGCAGTCGATATTATTTAATGAACTGATGCATCTTTCTTATTTGCTTTTGATTTTTATTTTGTGCACTGCTACATCTTCCTTATTTGCTTCAAAGATGTTCATTAAGATGGTTGTAGGAGATACAGAAAGGACCTTTAGTGACTTGAGCTTCGTTAGCGCAGGTATCAAGAGGTAGTCCTATATAATTGCTCTTTCATACAGAAATATGCATGCTTATCTTCCTAAGTGGGCAATGTGAGCTGGAAATTGAAACAATCGGGTCAAATAAGAGTTTGGATTGCGCAAATGAGCAGTGATCAAAAGGTTACAATAGCTAACTTTACAGGGCAGCCGTGCCATTGCCATTGCCATGTTTTTGACATTTGGAGCATGTAAATAGCAACGGAAAGATAGATGCTTCTTTTTCTTTTGGTCTTTTAAGCTTTCTCTTCCCGTAGTTGTCCGATTCTAAAGACATTTGATTTGCCACTTTAGTCTTCACAACACTCGTAGGTATCAAATGGTTTCCATGATAGATAAATTAAAGCCATTATTATTGATCAAGGGTGGTCGCATGTGCCTAAAATTTATAGATGACAAATCTACCAGCTTCTTTCTCTCTATTCTTCCCCCTTTTTATTTTTGCCTATTTTGCATAATGTCATGCCTTATGGGACTATGGCATATCATTGGAGAAATATGTTATCCCGAAGATATACAAGTGTGCTATAGGGAATTTCATATCATTTCGTATACTCAAGCAAGGGCAGCAGGCTTTACATTTCAAATTCTCTGTCATTTGTTAATTGGGATCATGTCAATAAACAAGCCTTCAAAGCATCTCACATCCCAACAAAGCAATGTTATCTAATCTAGGAGGCATTTTGACAAACTTGTCTTGTGCACAAAGTCCTTGCATAAACCAAAGAGTTCCAATGCCAACTCAAATAGGGGACACAGACTAATAGTAGGAATAAATTATTATTTTGGTTTAGGTCCAAAAGCTTCGAGGCAATAACTGCAAACAAAAAAATGATCAAAGTTGGTCGGTACCATTCCTTTGTATTATAGATGTAATCTCCTCCTACCCGAACACGCCCTTTAGGAACCTAACTAAAAGCAAATAAATAAATACTGAATAATAACTTAAAAAAAAAAAAAAAAAAACACCAAAGAGAACATTTTGATTCTTTGAATATAGAAAAGTGGAAAGCAAAAAAAATACTACCACAATAGTTTCGCATCTATCACTGTATTGGGGCTCGACGACGTCGTTGACTTGATCACCTTCCATTCCGATCAGCCGTTTGCAGACAATCCTTCTAGGAGTCTCAGGGGACCGTAAGATCACAACATCTCCTGGTCGAAGTTGCCGGTTCGGGTCGAAATGCGCTCAACCCACAAAAATTGCCTGTTGTGTTTAAGGTTGGAACCATGCTAGGACCATAATTCTACAAAGTTCCCAGTCACTGCCCCAAATTCAAGAGTAAAATTAAAACCGAAGAAACAAAGAAATGAAAGGATGAGTTTGTTTTGGGGGATAGTTGAAAGATTTAATTGTTCAATGGGACAATGAAGCAGCTTTATACCTAATGTTAAATAACAAAATTTTTTTAAAATTTTTCAATTTAAAAACTTGAATTTTCAACTTAAACAAAAAAAAAAAAAAAACTCATGTATTTTAAGGTGAAAAAATATTTGGGATAAAAATTTATTATTATTTTATATTTTTAATACTTTACTTCTTATGTATTTTAAATATTTTAATTATTCATAATATTTTTTAAAAAACATTAAACATTTAAATTTTTAATTATATTTTTTACTATACTTTTAAATATATTTTTTAATTTAAATTTTTTTAACAACAACCGTACTAAACTATTTCTAATTCTCTTTCTCAAACCAATCTAGATTTGGATTTAAAAAAAAAAAAAAAAAAAAGGCATGGTAATGCATGGAGTATAATGATAATGAAATGATGGATAAATTTTAAAAAACACAAGGTAAAGAAAGAGCTGGGTAAGTGGGCTTACAAACGGGAGTCCTTGATTCCTTAGTCCCACATTGCTTATGGGGAGTTAATTTTAGAGTATAATCGATTAAATTTGAATTGATATAATATTAAATTTATGTTTGAATTTGATTTGAAATTTGAGTTTTGAAACTAAATTTGAATTTTGAGGTGTGAAATTCGATTCGAATTTGATTGAATTTTTTTTTTTAATTTAAATTTGACTCAAGATAAAAATCAAATTACTTGAACTTATTTGATTATATTCAATTAATATATAAAAATAAGTTTGATTATTATATTCGATAAAAACTCGATTATTTTTATTTGAATTCGAGTTCAAAATATTTTATTAATTAAAATAATAAAAATATATTTAAATATAAAAGCTCGATTAGGCTCATAAATTATTCAAGTTAAGTATAAAAATATTCGAATTCGACTCGATCGATAAATCAAATTATTTGAACTCAAGTTTGACTCGATAATAATCAAATTTAATTTAAATTTTATTCGAATCAAATTTAAATAATTTATAAATATTAACATATTATTTACACCCTTAATTAACTTGTTTACCCTACTTTGAGCATTTCAATAGAAGTATGTCATTCATGCTTTGGAACATACTGTCAGAAACTTATGTGAAGGACTAAATCGGCATGTATATGACTAGGGTACAGATATGTTAATGGATATGGGTAAAATAAAGTATTTTTATTTTTATATTTAAATTGTTATATTATATTTATTTTTGTACTTGATATTTTAAATTTATTTTTATTTTTATTTCCGTGAATATTCAATGAATATGAAGATTCTCTATACCTATAGCTTTAAAAAAATAAAATTAATTTTTTTAAATTTTATCTTATATATTTAGATAATTTTTTATAAATATATATTAATATATTTTTAATAAAATTATATTAACTTTAATTAATCTAAGATAATAATATATATTATTTAATAAAAAATTATTTACTAAATATGTATAAATATATATGTAGAATACGAATACGAGACGAGTACTATATTACATGTCTCTATTCTCATATTTAATAAAAATTTAAAATTATATACATCCACATCCTCATACAAATAATATAATATTCATCTCTATTCTCATTCGGATAAAAAATCAAATTTCTTATTAGATATGAATAAAATTAACATCATTTTTAAGATATAAGATAGAATCTTTTTATTTTTATATTCTATAAAATATTTTAAATTTATTTTTATTTCTATTCTTGTAAGTATTCAATAAGTATGAATAATTTTTGTATTTATAATATTTTTTAAATAAAAATTAATTTTTTAGTTTTGTTATTTTTATCTTACATATTTATGTAATATTGTTATAAATATTTATTAATATATTTTAAAAATATATTAATTCTAATTAATTTAAAATAATAATTTATATTATTTAATTAAAAATCTATTTACTTTATTTATATACAGATATGGGACAGATGTTATATTATCTATTTTTATTTTCGTATCTAATAAAAAAATTAAAATCATATTTATTTTCATTCTCATTATGTTAATATAATGCTTATTTTTATTTTTATTTTCTTTCAAAAAAATAAAATTTTTAATTGAATGTGAATAAGATTAATATTTTTATTTTTAAAAAATTACGAATATGAAGGTTATCCATATTTATTATGATGAAAACGAAAATAAATTTAAAATATTTATTAAATATAAATATTAAAATAAAAAATGAAGAAAAAAAAATTCTACTTGCCCATACCCAACCATTACATCCCTGTCTCATCCTTCTATTTTCCATCGTTAATGGTTGAAATCCATCAAATTTAAGTTAGTTGGCGAATGGGCAAAAGCAATTAACATTTATATGTAGGCAAAATGATTATAATGTTGATTTTATGCATCACTCGCTGAAAATAGCCAGCCTGTTCCCCTAAAAGGAGCCTCACAGAGATTCAACTGTTGGCTACAAAATTTATAGCCAAGTCATAGGCTAACCCCACCCCTAGCGTTGGACATGAGGCGTGCTTTGTTGGAACCCAATTTTCCTGCGGGAGGCCAATTTCGTAAGGCCATCCCTCTGCATCTTTGTGGGCTTCCAAATTGTTTTTGCAGGGTAATGTATAATCCTAGCGTCTATTTTGATGACACTTGTATTCAAGTCAAAGAAGAGGGACTTCCCTCGAGTTTCGACATGATTTCACTCCACCTCCATAAACAAAATGTAAAAGAGGAAACCAATTGATTGAAATTGATGGTGAAGGAAATCCAACTTAACCAAAGTTGATACAAGAAGTGGGTCCAACAGGCACAAAACTTGGCAGGAGTTGGAAAACTGATAAAAGGTCGTGATGGTGCGCCACTAGCACCACTACCTACTGGCTCAAGAGCAGGGATTGTTGGGGAAAGGAAAAAAAAAGCACCATGCATGCATGACAATGAGCTCCCATGTCCCTAAAATATCAGCACATAAATAAGCATATTATGTATAAAGGAATCAAGACTGACAGATTTGTGCATCTCACGCTCAGATACTGATAACAATATATATACAAACTGGAACAGGCACCACATAAATGTATTGACAGCATGTCTCCAGATTTCCAACAAATTAATTCTCAAGTATTCTAAGAGGAGGAAAAACCATTGAGAATATAAAAAGAAGCGAATAAAGGACATCAAACAAAGACATGAGCCTGAGCAAGTGGTGCTCACAAAAGGTGATCAGTGCTCATCGGGGATTTAACAAGTAATATTTATTCAACATGGAATAAACATAGAGTATGTGAAATACAGAAATCAGGCAGAGGAGAAACTACTAGTGAATCTTTTTCAAGTACATTACATTCACATTCAAAGCAGCAAGTTGTGCCAAAAGATAATGGCAACTAAATACTTAGTAGTAATATTACACAGCCAAACTCCATCCCAACTTCTCTCTCCTTCCAAGCGAACAATAAGCTTCAAAAGTTTCAGCAGCAATTCGTGCACTGGCACATCAGTAATACATGCATAACTGGAAATTACAACACATTATTAATTCTAAATACCGGTCTTATTTATCCGTAGACAGAAAACCGTCAGAGAGAGAGCGGTGAAGGATGAGTACGCAACACAGAATAAACTTAACTTCTGGAAGATGAGAAAATGGTTATCACAATATGAGTTCAATCCCTGTACTTAAAATTTCCAACTCCATGCTTCTTTACTTCAACCTTGAGAGACTTCAGATACCTAACAGCTTCATCAAGAACAGCTACATTATCCAACTGATCAGCACCAGGAACAATTCCCCTTAAAACCTTCATCATTTTCTTCATTTTAAGTCGCTTAATTTCAGGGTCACAACAGCCACCACTACCAGAGGACTTCAGAGTAGATGAGCATGAGCCGTTCTTTCTTGGTTTTGAACCATAAGCAGATTGAGAATCAGAGTCGCTTTCATAATTTCCATAAGTCCGTGCTGTGCTAACTTCTTCCTCATCATAATCTTGTTCCTCCTCTTCTGAGCTGAGCAGTGCATCAATATCATCTGAATCCTCTTTCAGAGAAGATGAGGTTTCTTTTTCCCCATTAACATATTTTCTCTCATACTTTCCATCCATGTATGTTGCAGAAACATTTAATCCATGACCATTAAACTTATTTGCAACAGCAGGATTGAACATGATCTGATTTCTACGATCAGTCTGATTGAAAATAATGAAATTCTTGGGACAAACCTCTGAGGGTTGAAACTCAATGCCATGGAGGGGTGGCAATGGCTTAGCACATGGAGGAAAAGCAGTACCAAAAGCAGATGCAACTGGGATATGCATGTAATTATCACAAACTTGATCTGCAAGTGGGGGCACTGCTTTTTGGGGGTAAAACTGTTGATCACTCTGCATTGAATTTTCTACTTAATCAAGAAGTTCACAACAAAAGATTGCTTCTTGGCTTTGAACTTGCAATTATTCAACTTTTAAGTTGGAAGAAGGCTTATGAATATAATTATGGTAAGACTATAGACTAAACTACTGGATCACCATCACAACATGACAGAGCCGCCTGTCCCAAATTTACCTCAAAACAATCAGATGTTTCATTCTGTCACATCCTGAAGCATAACACAACCAAATGGCAGACTCTCCCAGATCCTGGTTTCCAAGAGTTTTGTATTACAAGACTACGTAACAGGTTTAAGCAACTGACGGAAATACTCAGCCTGCGATAGCATATACGAAGTCATTATAACCATAAAAAATGCACATAGTAATATGTGAAGCCAAAAACAAAAAGATGCTTTGTCCATTGTTCTACATGGTATTACTCAATCATATGACGAAAAACTTCAGTCATGATTGATGTTTTGAAGTAACATTTACACTTCTATTTCATAGGGAAGCCCATTAGAATGGTCAGAAGTTGATTAAGTTTTCTACAGATTCAACGTGCTCTCAACTAACAGAAAATCCATAACAGCAAAGAGTAATGAAAAAGATAAATGATAAATGTCTTGCATTTCTCAAAAATTTACATATAATTTTTTTTTCTTTTCAACTATAATAACCACAAGTACACGCATGTGCTTAGTCCTTGTGCACGTTTTAGTGCATTTTCTATGTCCTGTGTGCATTAACGGGACAAAACTTTCAAATCAGTCACTTAACAAACTAAAAATCAAGTGGCAAATTCAACATAATATAATCATGCTACCACAAAAATAGCAATAAAATTATAAAACCATAACTGACATGGCACATAGATTTATTTGAGACAACTTTTATGCATATCCAAGGGCAATATACGAAATCCGAAACAGGTAAAAATCAAATTTACCTGACAAACTTGAACTAGTTGATAGTATGCAATAACACCAACGCTCATTGTAATCTTCCCAACCTCCTTAAATGCTCGATATCTCTTTATGGTTATCGCAATGTACATTCTCACACCTCCAACCAAAATTTTTCAATCTGCAAACGCTAAGTTGAATGAAATGTATCCTCTTCCAATTTCAATTGAAATTCACCTACAGCAGTAGAATAATTCCTTTTAATAAAAATAACCAACAGATACATGCACATTAAAATTAAAATTTCTTTTCATTTTCTGCAAAATTATAAGGCAAGCAAATAACCATCATCTGAATTAAAACAAATGGAATTTAAATTCATAAATTTTTAGATTTACAAAACTTACCAAAAACAAATAAAAATTACAGTATGACAAGAAAGAAAACCACCAAGCGCACACAATTCACGAAAGACCTCGGCATTTTGTTTATCTTTGACTCAATCCCGAAGTAATTATAGAAAAATAAATCCAAGCTTCTTGCCTGCAAAAATGAAAAGGAAAGAAAAGGAATTAAAACTAATTAAAAAAATGGAAAAAGCAGTTAAATCAAACAGAAATACTTATATCAAGGCTTCAATAAAAAAAGAAAAAAGAAATGAACTAAATAAAAGGATCAACGATAATTAAAGCCCAAAGGAACTAAAAATCAGAAACGGCAAAGAAAAAGAAGGAAGATCTAATTATTAGCAGATAAAAATCTTAGAGAAATGAAAATGAAAAAGAAAAAGAAATATAGCTGTAATTAAAAAAAAAAAAACTCACTTTCCATCAAAAGAAAATCACTTTATTTAAAAAAATCACAAAATTCTCATTAGAACTAGAAAAAAAAATTGCAAAGAAAAATGGAGAAAAGAACCCCAAATAATAATTCTTACAGAATAAAAGCTCGAAGAAAAAAACAGAAGGATTGGAAGCGGCCAAAAATTAGAAGAAAAAAAGGGAAAACTGGTCTGATAGAAAAACCCCTAGATTTGCGCTGAAGAAAGTTGCAGAGTTTAATTCAGGAATGAGGTTGGTGAAAATTTTGGTTTGAGCAATTATTTTTTATTTTTTTTTTGTGTTTATTGGGATATGTGCTGTTCTGAGTCAAACGCGGTGGGATTTGAGGCGTTGGATTTGGGGCATTTCCGTGTAATGCGGAAAGGAAAGTGACCGTTGGATGCACGCGTGACAGGGTGGAAGGAGTGGGGCCCACGAGGTTTGACAATTTTTCCATATCGTGGAATCGACTCTTCATCTCTGCCTGTCATTTGCTTTTTGGTAAGCCTTTTTTGCATAATCCTTTGTTATTATTAGTATTATTATTTGTCTAATCAAAGATTAAAGAGGAAATTCTATTAAAAAAAATTAAAAAGGAAATTGAATTAGTAATCATAATAGAGAAACCAAAAAAACCTATATTTGCTTTTTTTTTTTTTTTGCTTGATATGATATAATTTCTTTTGCCTTACTGAGCATATGGAATTTCTCTTATTTGAATAAAATCCATTGATATTATTACTATAAGATTATTTCTAAAGTAAAATTACAACTATAAAATTTTACAATTAAATAGTTTTGAATTATTAATTATTCAAAAATTTTTATAATTACATGAATTTATCTTTTTTAATATATTTGAGAATTAAATGATTTGATTTTTGAATTAAAAAATTTATATATTAATTATTTAATTAAATGCTCATGTGCATAATTGAGTATATACTTAATTTGAATAAACAATCTAATTGATCATTGTGCATTGTCTAAAACTTTTTTATTAAGCCCAAACATCTAATAAAAAAAAAAGATTCAATACCTAAAGAAGCACTATAAAGCATATATAATTATCATATATGTGATCAAATATAACTATTGCTTCATTCATGGAACTGTGTATCATATATAGATTAAAGCCCAAAGCACCAGCTATGGAATTCAATCTGCTACAGGTAAACAAATATATTGACGGAAAAGAATACACGGAAGGAATATAAAGACTTTGGCTACATTTTATTATAAACTAAGCCCAGAAACCCTTTCAAATATATGTTGCATATCAAAGCACTGATGGATACAGGCAGCTTCCATAGCCTGCAAAGAGATAAGTGCAAAAAGTTATGAACAGAAACAAATTAAATGAATAAATTTGACATAAGACAGGATTTGTTTCAACATGAAATTCCCAAATATACCTAAATTAGAAAATTACTAGAGGAAAAGAGTTTTTACTTGGATCAGATACAGTGATGAGAGCAGAGGCGCCAAAGTCACAGTCCCAGATGTGACGGCCAAAGGCTTGGTAGTAATTATTCATGACTACAGATGCATGGTTGATGATAGTATTGGGGTAGTAGCAGATTCCATTTTCTTGTATCAAGTTGCAGCTGAATCCCAGGGTCCCAAGTTGAGAACAGGCAAAGTTTATGCTGGAAACTAGTGCTGTATCATTGGACGAAGGTTTTGCAACACACCATGTTTTTCCCTGTTTAAAACAGGAGATTGTCTAGAAAATACTATCAAATGAACACGGGTTTTTCATGGAAAATTAATAATATGTCATAGTTAGCATTGATTCTACCTGTCCATTGGCCAACTTCAGCAGCCCTCCTGCATAGTTACACAGCAAGAAAATCATTAAATATGGTTATAAATTTGCAACATAACAAGTCAAATTCAAGTGCAAAACATTGTTGATTTCATTGACAAGAGAAACTGCTCTGATCAAAACCACATCAAGTACTTTGCAAACAAAAGCACCAAAATGTAAAGCTTTGATCAATTTTCTTGTGGGAAAAAAATTATGGAAGAAAACAAACGCATCATGGAGTGTCACATTATTTTATTCATTCATACCATCCTCTGGGACTCAAGAAAGAGGAAATTTTGGAAAATTCCAACATTTTGCCGTCTTAAAAAAGATATATAGAACAGAAGATTATTACAACTTTTTATTTACAAAAAAAAAAAAAAACCATTTCAAGTCTTGATTTGAAAAGTAGCAGAACACATAAAGGAATCTAATCCTATAGTTTGGCATACATCAATGTGTATGAGAAAGTTTAGACGCAAAAAGAAAAAAACGCAAGAAAATGGAAAAGATACCAGAGTTAAATGACAGAAGGAGCAGAAGACAGAGAATGGGAAGTGACAGAATTGATTTAGCCATTGCTGTTCGGTTGCAGTAAATAATTAAAAGACAGTGAAGAAAGATAACTTGGTAAATGCGAATGAAGATGAATGTTCACATATATAGGGTGAATAATGCTTTTGTCCGACAGTAATTTGCTACTTCCACAACATTTTAGGATATTAATTTTCAGTTGGAAGTAGCCAAAATATTCCCGGCACTAGCAATCATCTTCTTATGGAGGAGGGAGTTAAATCATGGTTAACGCCTAAAGCCTTGATGGTCAATTTAAAAGAGAATATGTAAGGGCAAAAGATAAGACAGCATTGGGTTTTTTTTTTTTTTTTTCCATGATTCCTGAATTTGTCATAGAAATGTTTTTCATCCAAGTTATTAGTATGATTGTTAATAATCACAGAAGCTGTAAATAAAGCGTTGGACTTGTAATTTCAATCATCATGATTTAAATTTTAACAATTTATAACATAAAAAAAAGTTAAATATGATTATTGAAAAGATAAATTTCACCCCTATTTAATTTCAGAGTTGAAATCTTCTTTAATCCAGAAACATAAAAAACCAAAGTAGCTGGACGGGTTTATGACTGGTAAAATGAAAAGGAAGAATAGGTGAAAATCACAATGGTCAAACATTTTCTCTGCCACACTCCTAACCTTAACCTCTCTAATTCTAAAAATATTTGCCAGGCTGTGTGGTCACAGTCAAGAAGGATGGTCAAATTGGTCACCGCCTTACTAATTTTAACCATCTTGGATTTTTTATTAAAAAAAAAAAAAAAAACCAAAAGAGGCTACTCCAAGTTGGTCAGAAAAACCATGGGTTATGCCAGAATCAATTGAACATGGGTTTGGTTAGAAGAGATGCAAAACTGCAAACCTTAATTTGGTTTTATTATTTTAAGTTGCAAATCACAATCAATTGTGTAAATTTTAGAAGATTTTGGATTAGAGTGTTCACATTTAACAGTGTAGTGACTGTAATGCTGAGGATATTAATATTAGAGTGATAAAGATGGATATTAAAATTTCATTTGCATTTAAATTTAAGGTTTAATTCAATTAATTTATTATTTTCAAAATGTATTATTGAACAAAATTTGAATTCAAATATCAATATCTATAATCTCTTCTTATTTTCTTAAATTTGACTTTTTTAATATAAAATAACAAATCATGTGCAAGCACAAAACTAATACTTTGAAAAGGTGAGCCAGGTGATATTGTGGATGGACAAAAACAAGGAGTGCTTTTATATAATTATACGATTAATTAATCACATTAATCATTGATTAGTAGAAATTTTTATGCATAACAAACAGGTCAATATTTTACATCTTTAATTCTATCAAAATGATAATCTGCTTTCCATGAAACCATGAGCAGCTTGATGATGTACATGTAGCATATTTTTTAAATGAAACAAGTTGATTGCTTTCACTTCTTGCTACAGATACCTTTTATCAACATTTTTTTTTTTTTTTGCATAAAAGAGTAATTTATACATTTAATTTTACTCATATATGGCCCACCATTCCCTCACCACATTGTGCCACCACCTCAAGCCCCCCTTTTTTTAGGTTTTTTTTTTATTTTTTCAATTTTTAAAAAATTTTTATAAATAATTTTTTTTGATAGAGCTCATTTTACCAAGCTTTTATTCTTTTATTATTTTTTTATATATTTTTAAAATTCATCATTAAATATTTTTTTTTTCAACTCAACTCTGGTGCCACGAGACATTCTTTTATTTTTTTTGTTTTTTAACATTTTAAATTTTTTTTAAAACTTTTAAAGAATTGAACCTACCTTATACCAATTGTTTTTGTCTTTTTCTTTTTTACATTTTTTATAAATATTCTTTTATATTTTATTTTTTTTTTATAAAATTCACTTGATATCAAAAGTATATCACATTTTTTTTAATTTTTTTTTCAATTAGATAATTTTATTGAAAAAAAATTGACGAATATGTACATGTGATATTTTATTTTACTTTTTTTTTTTATATTATATATATTTTAACCAAATAATTTATAACAAAAAAATCCATAAATAAATGATCCCTGGCACCACGCGAGCCTTTTCTGGTAACTTTAATAAATTTAACTAACTCTTCAAGAAAGGTATTTGATTAAATGGTTAAGAAAAATTTTACCCAAATGAAATGATTTGAAATATAGGCATTAAGAAATATGTGGTGTGGGTTAACTTATTTTGTCATAAATCTATTTCTTTTATATATTTTGGACCACGACTTGAAGTTTGAACTCAAAATCTTCAATTACTAATATTGAATTAACATCCCATTGGTCATGTATAGGACGTTGCTTGATGATTAATAATCCTAATTTGCAGTTTGATGAGTTATAACCAATGAATTCATTCCAGAAAGACTGAACCATATTGGATATGGAAGAAGCGAAAATGTCCAGAGAGTTTGAATCTGACAGGTAACTTCCCACATGATAAAGACTGATTTTGTTGAGATGATGATGATATAACATTAAGCCATCGTACCAAACCAAGAAAAACCATGTTTTATATGCCAAATTCCTTTTTCTTGTTTCTGTTTTTGTATCAGGAAAAAGGAAAGCAAGCTGTCCATAACAATCCATCAACTATTATTGGAATAATCCCTCCGTCCACCCAGAAAAGTGCGTCATGCCTCGCGCCAGCCTGGCCATGGTGCCCCTGTTCTTGGTTGAATTATATAATTCCATCAAAACTTCATGTTTCTTTCTATGCCAATGAATGAAGTTCAAAGGTTCATGCACTAAAATTACGGTTCATAGAGATCCGTGATTTCTAGATTATCAAACAGGTCCAATGATCACCACTTAATAGTCCAACTTGTTATTATGATTATGTTGAATATGATTCTGTGGAGACTTTTTTTTTTTTTATTTACTGGAAGAAGAAAAAATTCTAAAGTTTTTCTGAAAGATTGTAAACAAAGACTCAAAATCCATTCTATTTCAAGTAGTTCATACGTAATTTGTCTTTTTTTAAAAAGTCCTGCTTAACATATTTATATTCCACAGTTTTATGATGGATAATAATCCTGAAAGTTCAATAATTCCGACAAAAATTAAAGGTTAAAATATTAAACATATTTTAATTATTTTATTTTTTAAAATAAGTTTTTATATTTATATTATATTTAAATAAATTAAAAATTTTATTTGTATAATACTTGTTTAGTCAAATAAATATAAAAATATGAAAATTTAAGGATGGACCGATAATTTAAAAAAATAACTAAGTTTTTTCAATGAACAAAAATTTAGAAGTAAAATAGGTTATCATATATCTTAGAGCAAATCGCAAACTCATAAACGAATTAACAAATTATTTTTTAGTTTTCTATATTTTTCAAACTTACAAATTATTTACTAATAAAAAATAGTGGAGATTCAAATATGAATACTTTATATTCAAACTCTGACTTTAATCGCTTGCGTTAACTAAAAAAAAAAAGCTAATTTGAGCACTAATATAATGGTATTAGTACACATTAATTACAAGCTCTGTTGTCCAATGGTATATTATCCAGATCCCCAACGAGAAGGTAAAACTATACAACTAGGACCACAAACATGTCGGCAATGATCTCAAATCTGTGCAGAAGTCTATTCCGGCTTGGTCAGTGGCTCCAAAAAGCCGAATCCATCTTTTCCCTTTTTCGGCCCTTTTTTTTTTCAACTTGCATTAACGCTGACACTGCCCATACCTATATGGCAACATTCACAAGCGTTCAACTACACGTTTAATAATTGAAGTGTTGGACATTCCCGACTTTTCACGTCACATTCTAGATTCTCATTGCCTACCATCACTAAAAACCATTATCCTCACTATGTCCCACCTATATTAATCCCCACTTTGGCTGGCATTACCACTAGTTTAACGATATGATGTTGTGATGTCAAGTTGTTGAGGTTTTTCGGGGTTAATGATTGGTTGAAACTTGCATATAAGCGTGTCATTGATCCAAATTTCTCATTAGTTTCTTTCAGACCAGCTTCAAAGTACTATTACTCTAGCTAGCGATGGTGTCAAAATGTGTCAGTTTAATCATAGTCATACTTTGTTCTGTTTTAGCTACTGCACAATATGCAGAATCAAGCTTGGAAGTTGAAGTAGAGGCCCTTCGGGCATTCAAAAGTTCTGTCACTCATGACCCTTTAGGAGCACTTGCAGATTGGACAAAGGCAAATCATCACTGCAACTGGTCTGGTATTACCTGTGACCCTTCCACGAGTCAAGTCATTTCAATCTCCTTGGTTGATAACCAGCTCAAGGGGGAGATATCACCATTTATCGGAAACCTTTCAAGCCTCCAGGTTCTTGATTTAACTTTAAATTCATTCTCAGGTCATATTCCACCTCAACTAGGACTATGCTCCCAGCTGACTGAACTAACTCTTTACTACAATTCTCTGTCGGGTCCAATTCCAGCAGAAATAGGAAACCTTAGAAATCTGCAGTCAATGGACTTAGGTGATAACTCTTTGAATGGAAGCATCCCTGATAGCATTTGCAATTGCACTTCCTTGTTAGCTCTTGGCATTATTTTTAACAATCTCACCGGGACAATCCCAAAAGACATAGGAAAATTAGTTACTCTTCAAATTTTGGTAGCATACGGCAACAATTTGGAAGGTTCAATACCTGTTTCCATTGGCATGTTGGGAGCTTTGCAAGCTTTAGACCTAAGTGTAAACCAACTTTCTGGAGTAATACCTCCTGAAATAGGGAATTTGTCAAGTTTAGAATATATTCAGCTGTACAAGAACTCACTTGTGGGAGAAATTCCATCTCAACTAGGTCGTTGTAGAATGCTTGTGGCCCTTGAACTCTACAGCAACAAGTTCACGGGAGCCATTCCATATGAGCTTGGAAATTTGGTTCATTTGCAAACTCTACGATTGTATAAAAATAGGTTGAATTCCACAATTCCTCTTTCCTTATTCCAATTAAAATCATTAACCCATTTAGGACTCTCGGAAAATGAGTTGATTGGAACGGTACCAAATGAGCTTGGATCTTTGAGCTCATTACAAGTACTGACCCTTCATTCCAATAAGCTCAAGGGGGTGATTCCTTCATCAATAACCAACTTGACAAATTTGACATATCTGTCTATGAGCTACAATTCTCTCACAGGAGAACTTCCACCCAATATTGGATTGCTTTACAATCTAAAGAACTTGAGCTTGGATGTCAATCTTCTCGAGGGATCCATTCCTTCTAGTATTGTCAATTGTACTCGTCTTCTGTATATTTCTTTGGGTTTTAATAGGATAACTGGGAAAATACCATCAGGTTTAGGGCAGTTACGGAATTTAACAATTCTATCTATTGGGCCAAATAGGATGTCAGGTGAAATCCCAGATGACCTCTTCAACTGCTCAAATCTTCATACTCTAAGTATAGCAGAAAACAGTCTTAGTGGATTGTTAAAACCAAATATTGGCAGACTCTACAATCTCCAGGTTCTGAAAGCTTCCTTCAATTCATTTGTAGGGTCAATTCCACCAGAGATTGGAAATTTAAGCCAACTCATGACCTTAACCCTTGCTGGAAATGGTTTCACAGGCACAATTCCACCAGAATTATCAAATCTCTCTCTCCTTCAAGGGCTCTCATTGAGTGAAAATGCTCTGGATGGTGCGTTACCCGAGAACATATATGGATTGAAGCAGCTAACTTATCTAGACTTGCAGCACAACAAGATAACAGGTTCCATTCCAGATGCTGCCTCAAAGCTTGAGTTTCTTACATACCTCAGGCTCAACAACAACAAGCTCAATGGGTCCATTCCAAATAGCATGGAACGTTTATATCGACTTTCAACATTGGATCTCTCTCACAATCATTTCACAGGATCGATTCCCAAGTCCATGCTTGCAGGGATAAAAATGATGCAGCTGTATCTGAACTTCTCCTACAATTTCTTAGAAGGAAGTATTCCAGATGAGCTGGGTACGCTGGAAATGGTACAAGCCATTGACATCTCAAACAATAATTTTTCAGGAGTCATTCCTACGACACTTGGAGGCTGCAGAAATTTGTTTTCTCTTGATCTTTCAGGAAATAAATTTTCTGGTCCCATTTCAGCTGAGGTTTTTACTCAAATGGATATGCTTACAAGCTTGAGCCTTTCAAGAAATAAATTAGATGGCGAAATCCCGGAAAACTTGGCAAAATTGAAGCATCTAAGCTCCCTAGACCTTTCTCAGAATCAACTTCGGGGTAATATTCCCAAGAGCTTTGCCAATAGTTCCAGCTTGAAACATCTCAATCTTTCATTCAACCAACTTGAAGGTCATGTTCCTGAGAATGGCATATTCAAAACTATCAACTCGTCAAGTTTGGTAGGAAATACAGCTCTCTGTGGAAACAAATTTCTCAGGTCATGCAGCAAGAGAAGTTCGCATCGATTTTCGAGAAAGGGGATAATAATTCTCACCATCCTTGGATCTGTTTCTGTACTGCTAATCCTAGTGCTAGCGGTTTCAATCCTCCTGCGGCGTGCCAAAAAGAGTAAACCAGTCGAGTTGGAAAATCCAGAACCAGAATTTACGGCAGCAGTTCTAAAAAGGTTCGATAAAGTGGAATTACAAAACGCTACTGGTTCCTTTAGCGAAGATAACATTATTGGAACAAGCAGTTTGAGTACTGTATACAAGGGTCAACTGGAAGATGGGCAGCTGATAGCTGTAAAGAAATTAAATCTGCATCAGTTCTCAAAAGAATCTGATAAGAGCTTTTACAGAGAAGTCAACAACTTGAGCCATTTAAGGCACAGGAATCTGGTAAAGGTACTTGGATATGCATGGGAGAGTGACAAACTAAAGGCTGTAATTCTTCAATACATGGAGAACGGAAGTTTAGAGAGTGTCATACATGGTTCCGTGATGGATCATCAAGTCTGGACATTGTCTAAGAGAATTTATCTTTGCATTTCAGTTGCTAGTGCATTGGATTACTTGCATTCTGGTTACGATTTCCCCATTGTGCATTGTGATTTGAAGCCTTCAAATATACTTCTGGATGGAGATTGGGTCGCACATGTTAGTGACTTTGGAACAGCTCGCATGCTGGATGTCCATCTCCATGATGGAAGTAGCCTTTCCTCATCATCAGCTTTTGAAGGCACGATTGGCTACTTGGCACCAGGTAATCTTCAATCACTCCAACTTATTAAAGCACGTCTCCATTTCTCTATATGTCAGAAAATTTTCTAATCTTGCAATATTTTCAATATGCATCTTGAGAAAGATAGTTTTAACAATTATGGTCTCCTGCGTTGCATGTAATCTAGTTTCAACTATTCAAACAAACACTGGAATTCCTTCATAACCTTGAACAGATCAATTGATATTCAAATGATCATGCTTAAACAATTAAATGGCTATGGATTTTCATTTGCATCGATAAATGACAGTATCTAAGTTTCGCATGAACATTATCAGATTCTAAAACCAGAACTACTGAAACATTACTCTGCTCTCATTCAGAATTCGCGTACATGAGGAATGTCACAACTAAAGTGGATGTGTTCAGCTTTGGCATAGTAGTCATGGAGTTCCTAACAAAACAAAGACCAACTGGACTCTTGGAAGAGGATGGACTGCCAGTCAGTCTGCGTCAACTAGTTGAGAAATCCCTTAGTAGTGGAACCAAAGGGATCCTTCAAGTTTTGGACCCTGTGCTAGCTTTGAATGTTTCCAATGAACAAATCGAAGGAGTGGAAGAGCTCTTTAAACTAGCCTTACTTTGTACCTCCCCTATTCCTGAGGACAGACCCAACATGAACGAGGTTTTGTCTTTCCTTGTGAAGCTGAAAGCAAAATACTATGAAAATGAGGCCATAACCTCATGAAGAATACACCACTCTTCTGTCTTGAAGAAGCATGACTGCAGACTCCATTGCATTCTAATGTAATGGTAGGATTGAATTATGTTTATCTTGTTGTTACCATGTAATAGTTTATGATAATGAATAATTTCAATTTCCTCAATATCAAACTGATATTTCTTTTTTTTTTTTTGGATAAAAAATCAAACTGGTCTTTTTTTTTATTTTTTTATTTTAAGGGAGCATAACCCTGCAAGGGAGGGGAGGCCCAGTCTGTGTTTTCTTTAAGGCTTTCTCGACCGACCAAGAAGCTGAAGACCGAACTGGTCTTTCAGTTCTTTTATTTTGACCCGTTCCGTAGAAAAATATTAATGCCCCACCTGGCCAAGCCCGACTACCACACCACCTATCAACCTCTCTTCACAAGAGCTTTCGTCCACTGCTTATCACATTCAATTATACAATGGCAGCTACAACTTTAGCTCTCTCGTCCCCATCATTCGCTGGAAAGGCTGCGACGTTCTCTCCTTCCGCCCCTGAAATCCAGAACAATGACCTTGTTCATGAGGAATACCACCAAGCCTGCTGCCTCTGGAAGCCCATGGTACGGTCCAGCCAGAGTTTTGTACTTGGGTCCACTCTCTGGTGAGCTTCCATCCTCGACCGGAGAGTTCCCTGGTGACTATGGCTGGGACATTGCTGGACTCCCTGCTGACTCAAAGAACTTTCCCGGGAAGTGTGAACTCGGAGTCATCCACTGCAGATGGGCCATGATGGGAGCTTTTGGATGTGTTCTCCCTGAGCTTTTGGCAAGAAAAGGAGTCAAGTTCGATAAGGCCGTGTAGTTCAAGGCCGGAGATCAGATTTTCAGCGAGGGTGGACTTGACTACTCGGGCAACCCAAGCTTGATCCAAGCTCAAAGCATCTTGGCCAACTGGGCTTGCCAAGTTCTCTTGATGGGAGCTATTGGGAGTTACTGTATTGCTGGTGGGCCTCTAGGTGAGGTGACTGACCCACTCTACCCAGATGGCAACTTCAACCTATTGGGTCTTGCTGATGACTAAGAGGCGTTCCCTGAACTTTAGCTCAAGGACATCAAGAACGGCAGATTGGCTATGTTTTCCACGTTTGGATTCTTCGTCTAGACCATGGTGACCGGAAAGGAACCATTGGAGAACTTGGCAGACCACCTTACAGACCCAGTGAACAACAAGGCCTCGGCCTATGCCACCTACTTTATCCCCAGAAAGTGAAGTTTAGAGGGTGAGAGTGATTGGTCTTTTATGTTTCATTTGTTGGTGTGGTGTAAATTTGTTGCAAATCAATGAGAGCATATTGTGAATTCTTTTGTGCTCAAATTGCACATTGCCTCACATCCTCTTCTCTGAGAAAGCTTCAACTATTCATCTTCATTTGTATAAAAAAGAAAATGATAAAAGAGTTGAAGCACATGAGGACAAACGAATAATTGACTGTAAAATTTGATAAAAAAAAAAGGGGTGGGGGGTTAAATTCCCGTATACACTTCTCGGCCATCTGTAATTTGTAGTATTTGAGAATGAGACAAAATGTTACAACTGATCAATTACATATAAACATGTAAGATATAAAGAGTTTTGCATATAAATTGCCTCTGCTCTTTGAAAGAATTTGTACAACAAAGTCCAAGGAGAGTGGAGGAAAAAAGACCAAATATACGTAAAGCTTAATCAACAATATGAGCGGTGAGAATAAATGTAACTAGGAAAAATTGGGAGAGAAAGGTGCAATGAGTACTGAATTCACCAATGCAGCTTTAACCTTACTTAAATCTTCAACTATAAGCATGTAATCTTTAAACCGTGGATATATGGACAAAATAACTCGTAACCCACTTCAATAAATCTGGACTTGCTCGAATGAAGAAACTTTTGAGCTGAAGCTTAAGTGTGAATTGCTGCTGCCCTGGCTCTGGCAACAGATTTTGCATAAAGTTCCTCATATTGTGATGCTGAAGAATCCCAGCTGAAATCTATATTCATGTCATTTCGAACAAGTTGTTGCCAACTCTTCTGGTTGTTCTTGTAGAGATTAAATGCACGCTCAAAGGCACCGTTTACTCCCTGTCACTTTTTCACATCATCCAAGAGTAAAGTATGATAGAGCTGAATTAATGATATCTAAGGGTGATCCCAGACAGGAAAGAGGAGAGGGTGATGCACATTCTTTTTATTATTTCTACTTAGCTTTAGAGAGAAAACACAGATGCTAGAATAATAACAAGAAAATGAACTTGGAATGCTGGTTAATTATATTTCAATAATTCAATAATTACCTGCTCATCAGGAGTTGTAAATGTAAATCCATTTCGAAATTGGTGAGGTATTGTGTCATCATCAACATCAAACACACTACAGAAGAAAATTAACAAGGAATAAAGCTTAATTTTGAGGTCAAAGTAATGTCACATTAGGGCATTGGCATACATAGTTCAGGCAAAGCAGTTCACCTGTCATTTAGACCACCGGTTTTTCTTGCAATGGGTACAGAACCATATCTCATTGCTATCATCTGGATGCAAAAGAAATCACTTATAACTAGAAAAGGGAAACTTAAACAGAGGCTTAGATATTCACATGGTTTGCCTTTTAACAGTAACAGGCACAAATGAACGTGTTTCAATCTAGTTTTTTCTATTCAATAAGATTGCTAAAGCTGAAGTTTGATCCATACCTGTGTAAGGCCACAAGGCTCAAAAATAGATGGAATGATGAACATGTCAGATGCTGCGTAAATGTAATGAGAAAGAGACTCGTCATATTTTAGTATTAGCCGGATGTGTTCATGATTTTGAAATTGGTTCGCTATACCCTCAAATTCCCTCTGCAAAAGAATTAAAAAGAATATATAAAGAAAGAATCTCTCTCTACTATCAGTGTCAACCAATAGAAGTATGGAACAGTAAAAGGATTAACTTAAAATAAAATAACTCCACACATGGACCATAGTAATGCATGAAATGAAGCCCGAATGGAGTTTTATTGTTTCTTATTGCTTTCTCTCATGTAGTATCTATATGACTAATAGGTTTCAATCCATGAAACATATCTTCTCAAATCATGTTTATAACTCATTACTCAGCTTTACCATTTTAATGTAATATTACATGCAAGTATGGAATTATATAAAAAGTAATATGCATGTGACTGCAGGTAAATATGTACTTGTTTTTGTGCACCATGTTTCCAATATTTCTCACAGATATAAAAAAAAAAAAAAAAAGAAATCCAACACAACAAAAAGAAATGCAGACAAATGCTTCAGTTGTTTCATAATTGAAGAGGCTTTTCAGTAGTTTCTGATGCATACTGTAGGAAAACACTTATTTACAGCTGGTTGTAATCTTGTAATTTGTATATTTATATTTGTATATCTAGAATTAAGTATTAGTATCCCTAGAATTAAGAAAGATTTAGTTTCCTAGTTTAACCCTTAGTTAGTTGTATATAAACCTAAGATTCTTGTATAATTCAAGATAAGCAGTTTTTCAATATACATTCAGCTTCCACATGGTATCAGAGCTTTAGGCTCTTCTTGGGAAGAAAAGTTTTCAGCCTTCATTGCTGACTTTTTTAGGCCTTCATTGCCGAATCCTATTTAGACCTTCATTGCCAAACCCTTTCAAAGAAAGATATCACTATCACCCAATTTGAGGAAATGTTAACTGGGAAAATCACTAGAGTACTACAGATGTCTCAAAAACAAAGAGAGTTCAACAGGGAAGAGATTGAAAAGCTGAGAAACTTATTGAAAATCCTTGAAAAGCCTACTATGGTATGTTCTTTGGGTAAAGTTTTTAGTTTAGGTAAAGTTTTCGGTTCTCATGGATTAAATGTCTCGGCTAACCCTATTACGAGTTCTTGGCTCATTGACTCAAGAGCCATAGACCACATGACACATTCCTCACAAAAGTTTAGTACATATAACCTGTGTCCTAGTAATAAGAAAATTGTTGTTGCTGATGGTTCACTTACCACAGTGGCAGGATTAGGAGATGTTCAAGTTAATCCCTCGTTTGTTCTAAAAAATGTTCTTCATGTTCCTGGATTGTCTACTAATCTGATATCTATACAAAAACTTACTAGAGATATGAATTGCAAAGTAACTTTTTATCTCTCTTATTGTGAATTTCAGGATCAAAGTTCGGGGAAGATGATTGGACTTGCTAAGGAGAAGGATGGACTATACTATCTTGAGACATCAAATAACACAAGTAGTATCAAAAATAGTTTACCTTTGTCATTTCTTTCTGAAAAATTTTTCAATAAAGACAAAATCTGGCTTTATCATTTTCGTCTTGGACATCCTTCTTTTGGAACCTTGAGAAACAGGTTTCCTTCTTTGTTCAAAGAATTAAATGTTGAAGATTTTCATTGTGATATTTGCGAATTTGCAAAACATAGACGTGTGTCTTTTCCAATTAGTAACAAAAGAAGTTCTACTCCCTTTTACTTGATTCATAGTGACATTTGGGGTCCCTCTATAATTCCTAATATTTCTGATGCGAGATGATTTGTTTCATTCATAGATGATTGTACTAGGGTCTCTTGGATTTTTTTACTTAAATCCAAATCAAATGTGAATGGTGTGTTTTTAAGCTTCCAAAACATGATCGAAAATCAATTTAGAGTAAGAATCAAGAGATTTAGGTCTGATAATGCAAGAGACTACTTCAACCAGAGTCTATCCACCTATTTCCAAAAAGAGAGGATTATTCATGAGTCATCTTGTATTAATACTCCACAGCAGAATGGAATGGCAGAGAGGAAAAACAGCCATTTACTAGCCACAACCCGAGCCTTTCTTTTTCAAGCAAATGTACCTAAATCTTATTGAGGGGAAGCTGTTCTCACTGCCACACACATTATAAATAGGTTACCTTCAAGAGTTTTGGGATTTAAAACTCCCATGGAACTACTCTCACAATTTTATCCCAACCTCAATACCACAAACAATCTCACACCTAGGATATTTGGTTGTACATCATTTGTTCATGTTCACAGTCATAACAAGGGAAAGTTGGATCCAAGAGCGATTAAATGTATTTTTGTGGGGTATTCTTCAACTCAAAAAGGATATAAGTGCTATCATCCTCCTACCAAAAAATTCTATGTGTCTGCAGATGTCACTTTTGAAGAAAATAAATCATTTTTTACTCAATCTTATCTTCAGGGGAAGACTTCATTCATGGAAGATAAGGATAAAGACTTCTTTTTGCTTGATTTGCCCCCTTCTTTAACATTTACACCCATTAATTCTTCTGAGTGGAAACCTGTTTCTACTGAGCCCAAGTCAAACACTGAATTTGAGCCTGAACCCATTCCAAATACGAAAGATGTGACAAAGGATAATATTGTTCTTGATTCTATGAAGGAATTACAGGTGTACTCAAAAAGAAAAGTTCCAGATCCTGAACCTGTGCTAGTCCAAGAACCTGATCCTAACTCTGAAAATGAGGTAACTACAGTTTTTGACTCTGTTGCTCAAAATGAGCATGAATCTCCTAAAACTATAACTAGTGATTATGATTTGCCTATTGCCATTAGGAAAGGAACCAGAGAATGTACCAAGCATCTACTATACCTGTGGGAAAACACTTATTTACAGCTGGTTGTAATCTTGTAATCTGTATATTTATATTTGTATCTCTAGAATTAAGTATTTGTATCCCTAGAATTAAGGAAGATTTAGTTTCCTAGTTTAACCCCTAGTTAGTTGTATATAAACCTAAGATTCTTGTATAATTCATGTAAGCAGTTTTTCAATATACATTCAGTTTCCACATGGTATCAGAGCTTTAGGCTCTTCTTGGGAAGCAAAATTTTCAGCCTTCATTGCTGACTTTTTTAGGCCTTCATTGCCGAATCCTGTTTAGGCCTTCATTGCCGAACCCTTTCAAAGAAAGATATCACTACACCTCAATTTGAGAAAATGTTAACTGGGAAAATCACTAGAGTACTACAGATGTCTCAGAAACAAGGAGAGTTCAACAGGGAAGAGATTGAAAAGCTGAGAAACTTATTGAAAATCCTTGAAAAGCCTACTATGGTATGTTCTTTGGGTAAAGTTTCTAGTTCAGGTAAAGCTTCTGGTTCTCATGGATTAAATGTCTCGGCTAAGCCTATTACGAGTTCTTGGGTCATTGACTCAGGAGCCACAGACCACATGACACATTCTTCACAAAAATTTAGTACATATAACCTGTGTCCTAGTAATAAGAAAATTGTTGTTGCTGATGGTTCACTTACCACAGTGGCAGGATTAGGAGATGTTCAAGTTAATCCCTCGTTTGTTCTAAAAAATGTTCTTCATGTTCCTGGATTATCTATTAATTTGATATCTATACAAAAACTTACCAGAGATATGAATTGCAAAGTAACTTTTTATCCCTCTTATTGTGAATTTCAGGACCAGAGTTCGGGGAAGATGATTGGACTTGCTAAGGAGAAGGATGGACTATACTATCTTGAGACATCAAATAGCACAAGTAGTATCAAAAATAGTTTACCTTTGTCATTTCTTTCTGAAAAATCTTCCAATAAAGACAAAATTTGGCTTTATCATTTTCGTCTTGGACATCCTTCTTTTGGAACCTTGAGAAACATGTTTCCTTCTTTGTTCAAAGGATTAAATGTTGAAGATTTTCATTGTGATATTTGTGAATTTGCAAAACATAGACGTGTGTCTTTTCCAATCAGTAACAAAAGAAGTTCTACTCCCTTTTACTTGATTCATAGTGACATTTGGGGTCCCTCTACAATTCCTAATATTTCTGGTGCGAGATGGTTTGTTTCATTCATAGATGATTGTACTAGGGTTTCTTGGGTTTTTTTACTTAAATCCAAATCAGATGTGAATAGTGTGTTTTTAAGCTTCCAAAACATGATCCAAAATCAATTTGGAGTGAGAATCAAGAGATTTAGGTCTGATAATGCAAGAGACTACTTCAACCATAGTCTATCCACCTATTTTCAAAAAGAGGGGATTATCCATGAGTCATCTTGTGTTAATACTCCACAGCAGAATGGAGTGGCAGAGAGGAAAAACAGTCATTTACTAGCCACAACCCGAGCCTTTCTTTTTCAAGCAAATGTACCTAAATCTTATTGGGGGGAAGCTATTCTTACTGCCACATACATTATAAATAGGTTACCTTCAAGAGTTTTGGGATTTAAAACTCCTATGGAACTACTCTCACAATTTTATCCCAACCTCAATACCACAAACAATCTCACACCTAGGATATTTGGTTGTACATCATTTGTTCATGTTCACAGTCATAACAGGGGAAAGTTGGATCCAAGAGCGATTAAGTGTATTTTTGTGGGGTATTCTTCAACTCAAAAAGGATATAAGTGCTATCATCCTCCTACCAAAAAATTCTATGTGTCTGCAGATGTCACTTTTGAAGAAAATAAACCATTTTTTACTCAACCTTATCTTCAGGGGGAGACTTCATTCATGGAAGATAAGGATAAAGACTTCTTTTTGCTTGATTTTCCCCCTTCTTCAACATTTACACCCATTAATTCTTCTGAGTCGAAACCTGTTTCTGCTGAGCCCAAGTCAAACACTGAATTTGAGTCTGAACCCATTCCAAATACAGAAGATGTGACAAAGGATAATATTATTCTTGATTCTATGAAGGAATTACAGGTGTACTCAAGAAGGAAAGTTCCAGATCCTGAACCAGTGCCAGTCCAAGAGCCTGATCCTAACTCTGGAAATGAGGTAACTACAGTTTTTGACTCTGTTTCTCAAAATGAGCATGAATCTCCTAAAACTATAACCAGTGATTATGATTTGCCTATTGCCATTAGGAAAGGAACCAGAGAATGTACCAAGCATCCACTATACCCAATATCTAATTTTGTGTCATTTGAAAAATTCTCACCATCCCACAAAAATTTTCTTGTGAGCCTAAACACTATTTCTGTTCCAACTACATTATCCGAGGCATTATCCAATGAGAAATGGAGGCAAGCCATGAAAATAGAAATGGAGGCCTTAGAGAAAAATCAGACATGGGAACTGGTAGAGTTGCCTAAAGGAAAAAATTCAGTGGGGTGTAAATGGGTTTTCACCGTAAAATACAAGGCAGATGGTACTGTTGAAAGGTATAAAGCCAGGTTAGTGGCTAAGGGCTACACTCAAACTTATGGAGTGGATTACCAGGAAACCTTTGCTCCAGTTGCCAAGATGAATACAGTTAGAATTTTGTTATCATTGACTGCAAATTACAATTGGCAGCTTCAACAATTTGATGTAAAGAATGCTTTTCTACATGGTGATTTGGAAGAAGAAATATATATGAAGGTTCCACCGGGATTTGAAGGTCATCTAGAAGCAAACAAAGTATGCAGGCTAAAAAAGGCTTTATATGGCCTTAAACAATCTCCTAGAGCTTGGTTCGGGAGATTTGCCAAAGCGATGTTAGTAATGGGATATAAACAGAGTCAAGGAGATCACACATTGTTTATCAAGCACTCTGATTCAGGGAGAGTCACAGTTCTATTAGTGTATGTTGATGATATAATTGTAACTGGAGATGATGAAAAAGAGAGAGAATCTTTAAAACAGTGTTTGGCTAGAGAATTTGAGATAAAAGAGCTAGGGAGATTGAAGTACTTCCTAGGAATTGAAGTAGCTCACTCACGGCATGGTATTTTTATCTCACAACAGAAATATGTGATGGATCTTCTGAAAGAAACTGGGAAGCTTGCATGTAAACCTGCAAATACCCCTATAGATCCTAATCATAAAATTGGAGAAGCTAATGAAGATGCTGCTGTAAATAGAGAGATGTACCAAAGATTAGTGGGAAGACTCATTTATCTCTCACATACTAGACCTGATATAGCATATGCTGTGAGTGTGGTAAGTCAATTTATGCAAAGTCCTAAAGAAGTGCACCTACAGGCTGTCTACCGTATATTGCACTATTTGAAGGCCAATCCTGGGAGAGGTATCTTATTCAAAAGAAATTTGGGGTTAGCTCTAGAAGCATATACAGATGCTGATTATGCAGGTTCAGTAACTGATAGAAGATCCACCTCAGGCTATTGTACTTTCTTAGGTGGTAATCTTGTGACTTGGAGGAGTAAAAAACAGAATGTGGTGGCAAGATCAAGTGCTGAAGCAGAGTTCAGAGCAATGGCTCAAGGGATTTGTGAACTACTATGGTTAAAGATTATCTTAGAAGACTTGAAGATCAAGTGGGATGGACCAATGAGACTCTACTGTGATAACAAGTCTGCAATAAGCATTGCTCACAATCCTGTACAACATGACAGAACAAAACACATTGAAGTAGACTGGCATTTCATAAAGGAGAAACTAGACAGTGGGTTGATTTGTACACCTTATGTATCAACCAAGGGTCAACTTGCAGATGTGTTGACTAAAGGTCTCAGCAGTGCAACATTTCAAGGAATTATTTCCAAGCTGGGAATGGAAAACACCTATTCACCAGCTTGAGGGGGAGTGTGGGAAAACACTTATTTACAGCTGGTTGTAATCTTGTGATCTGTATATTTATATTTGTATCTCTAGAATTAAGTATTTGTATCCCTAGAATTAAGGAAGATTTAGTTTCCTAGTTTAACCCCTAGTTAGTTGTATATAAACCTAAGATTCTTGTATAATTCATGTAAGCAGTTTTTCAATATACATTCAGTTTCCACAATACCCAATATCTAATTTTGTGTCATTTGAAAAATTCTCACCATCCCACAAAAATTTTCTTGTGAGCCTAAACATTATTTCTGTTCCAACTACATTATCCGAGGCATTATCCGATGAGAAATGGAGGCAAGCCATGAAAATAGAAATGGAGGCCTTAGAGAAAAATCAGACATGGGAACTGATAGAGTTGCCTAAAGGAAAAAATCCAGTGGGGTGTAAATGATTTTCACTGTAAAATACAAGGCAGATGGTACTGTTGAAAGGTATAAAGCTAGGTTAGTGGCTAAGGGCTACACTCAAACCTATGGAGTGGATTACCAGGAAACCTTTGCTCCAGTTGCCAAGATGAATACAGTTAGGATTTTGTTATCATTGGCTGCAAATTACAATTGGCAGCTTCAACAATTTGATATAAAGAATGCTTTTTTACGTGGTGATTTGGAAGAAGAAATATATATGAAGGTTCCATCGGGATTTGGAGGTCATCTAGAAGCAAACAAAGTATGCAGGCTAAAAAAGGCTTTATATGGCCTTAAACAATCTCCTAGAGCTTGGTTCGGGAGATTTGCTAAAGTGATGCTAGCAATGGGATATAAATAGAGTCAAGGAGATCACACATTGTTTATCAAGCACTTTGATTCAGGGAGAGTCACAGTTCTATTAGTGTATGTTGATGATATAATTGTAACTGGAGATGATGAAAAAGAGAGAGAATCTATAAAACAGTGTTTGGCTAGAGAATTTGAGATAAAAGAGCTAGGGAGATTGAAGTACTTCCTAGGAATTGAAGTAGCTTACTCACGGCATGGTATTTTTATCTCACAACAGAAATATGTGATGGATCTTCTGAAAGAAACTGGGAAGCTTGCATGTAAACCTGCAAATACCCCTATAGATCCTAATCATAAAATTGGAGAAGCTAATGAAGATGCTGCTGTAAATAGAGAGATGTACCAAAGATTAGTGGGAAGACTCATTTATCTCTCACATACTAGACCTGATATAGCATATGCTGTGAGTGTGGTAAGTCAATTTATGCATAGTCCTAAAGAAGTGCACCTACAGGCTGTCTACCGTATATTGCACTATTTGAAGGCCAATCCTGGGAGAGGTATCTTATTCAAAAGAAATTTGGGGTTAGCTCTAGAAGCATATACAGATGCTGATTATGCAGGTTCAGTAACTGATAAAAGATACACCTCAGGTTCTGTATATTTATATAACCACATACTATAATGCACCGAAATAAGTCCCATGGACTACAACAAATCAAGTCATTGAACCTATCCAGGTTCAACATAATGCTGAAACAGCTGCATGCATTATATGCCCTTTTCTTCAAGGGCATATAATACATGCAGAAAGAATTTAAAAGCTGAAGCGGAAAGAATTTTCCTGTCCTTACTGGTCAATGATAGCAGAAGTACTACCCAATCATCATATGTTATAAAAAAAACCTTTCTCAGATGGTTTATGGTTCTGGTATCAATTATCAAGAAAACGTCCAAGGAGACTGTCTAAAGCAAATTTAATAGAGGAAAAAAGATAAAAAGCCAGCATTAAGCTTCAGAAGGAAAAAAACACTACTTTGTTAATGAGATCTTCTTTCCCATCATTTGCTTTTGCATAGACAAAACAGCAGTAGAGGTTCACCTGAATGTGGGCAACTGGACTTGAACCAAGAAGTACAAATTGACCACCCATCTCCAGTGTTCGATATATGGCATGCCTAATTAGATGTACGCCCTTCTGTGGCACCAATCTTGTTATGCAGCCCACCTATTCAATAATAAATACAAGACCACTAGTAAGAAACTAGGCAATATTCAGTCAAGAAATAATAACCACCCCCATGATGCAACATTATTGAAACCAAAGGTGACCTTGTATTCGCATTGTACACTCAAAAGCTTGCGTAAAGAATATATAATACATATCAGTATGTTGATATATACCTCAAGCACTCCTAATAGAAAGAGGTATATTACAATATTCAGTTTGATTAAATGATGGCTTCTTATCACATGAGGATATGAAGGCAATTATATAGAAAAGTTTAATTCTAAAAATTGATTAAATTTTTTGAAAGTTGTCAGTGGAAAGTCTGACAGTACAATCTTAGAATCTTATTTCAGTTACTGCAAATGAATGCATACAACAAATCAACTTGACAAAACAGTAAAACATCAGAAAAAAGAAGGGGCATCTCACACAAAAGAATATCCTGTGTTATTAACTTAAAATCCAAAGTTTCTATTAGTATATCATCTTCATAGATATACTAACAGTATGATTTGCTATGAACCAGAATAGACACCTTAGCTTTCCATGAAAAATAAGGTTAAAACAACAGAGTGCTAGAGAATATTTAGCATCACAATATTGCAAATAAAAACTTAGAAGTAAAATTACCAATGGCTGTTGATCGTCAGCAGATAAGAGCCCTAGATGCCTTCTCATGGCAGCTTTATTTTCTGCTTTCCCTTGGAGCTCGTTAGCACTGTACTGAACTTTGAGAAAAATATCAGTGGTAGGATTCCATGCATCGGTATCGATCCCATTTAAGATTCCCATAAACTTTTTTGAGTGAAAATTAAGTGTTGAATGAAGGCCTCTTCCTCCCTGTAAAAAATAGGGGCACAATTTTGTAGTGTAACCTTAAAATTAAAAATGCAGACCAAGTTGTTCAAAGAAAAACTACAAAACATTCATACCTCAGCAGTTCGGACCTCTTGTGCATAAGTGGGTGATACTGTTGTCACTATGTTAGAGAACACAATTGCACCCTGAAAAGACGGAAAATTAGAAAAAGAATAGGAAAAAACTTGACTTTCCCAAAAGAATGATATTTGTTATAGCCAAACCAGTGATTAGTGCACCTTAACAGGATTGACCCTATCATGTGCTGAGTTATCCTGCATTCTATCAGGTCTATTTAGCTGGGGGACATCCAGACCACATGATGCCAATTCTGTAGCAGATGCAGTCCCTTGGTACTCAAAATTATGGCAAGTAAAACATATTCGAGCTGAATTCAAACCTTTTGGAGCATACAAGTCCCAGTAGAGTGGTGCCTGAAAAAGTCGTAAGAAACACTTTAGTGCAACAGAACATTGAATCAGGAGCCAAAAGAAACATAAGGTCAAAATGTCATACAACAAAAGCTGTCTGCCAATCATGGCAATGAATTATGTCTGGTTTCTTGCCAGCTTGAAGAAGCAATTCAAGTGCTGCACGACTGAAAAATGAAAAACGCTTGAAATCATCATGCTCTCCATAATATTGTCCTCTCCAAAAGAACTTGTTGGGATGATGAGGCTCAATAAAGTAAACAGGCAGACCTGTGAATTAAATTCTGAATTCAGATTACAAAGCTAATAGATAACATGCAACTGGAAGGGAAAGAAAAAATTCTCACCTTCAACAGTACCAACCCAAACTTTATTTTGGAATAGTTTTCCATCAAAATATGACTCTACTGTCACATCTAAGGCCTGTTCAAAAAAATTAAAATCATCATAAGCATACATTGGCCTATGATCTTAGTGCTTCTCAAATCTCCAATATGATAACATACCCTTAAGTCACGAACACGGTTATATTGCATACAATCATATTTTGGAAGAATAATCTCCACAAGGTGCCCTTTCTTCTGCAATGCTTTACTAAGACCAGTCACAACATCCCCTAAACCACCAACCTGATTGAAGAATATTGAATTAAAAAAACATAGCAACAATAAATAAAGAACAATTAGTCCTTCAAACTAACATGTACTTTTTCAATATGCAACAATGTGCAGAAAATCTAAAAACAAAAATCACAAACTAATTATTGAATATTAATTTTTCAGTATTAGAAACCTGGAGATCATTTTTGTAAACAGATAAAAATCCGAATCTATCAAAGAACGTGATATCATTACCATGTAAAGATAGATTTTAATAAGTATTTACTGATCCATAGGGTGGATTGGCAACAAAAATAGAAAAGAGAATGCAGGAATAAAATGAAATCACCATTGAGACATTCCTGATCACATAAAACAGCCAGCTATCCAGCCATGCAAGTCCAAACACAAGACCACAAAAATAATACCCAAGTAGCAACCTTCCAGCAGTGCAAAGGTACAGAGACATTTATGATTATACACTACTGACTACTTTCAAGCAGACTGAAACCATATATTGTGTTTATGCACAATTCCAGCAAAGACTTTCTTTCTAGGAACTTGTTTACTTGGTAATGGAGCAAAAGGCGAAAGCTACACTAGGGATGTTTGAAATAGTTGTGGTTGAATTTCTCAGCTAACTGTGGCGAATTAAACGGAAACTTTAAGCTTATTTAGTCAAGGTAAACAATAGGCAAAGGAGATCCAAGAGAACTGCTAAAGAGGACTGTTCTCTAGTAGGGAAAGTGGTAAACTTGTACTTCATATTACAATTTAGTAGATTAACAAGTAAAATGAAGATGTCTACTCTATTGGAGTTTTAAAGGGTCTCATTTGTTTTCATTCTTTCCCACAAAAATCCAAGCCATAAGTAAAGCTTTAGATCAACCTAGATATTACTGTAGTGCATGCTACTTGAACTCCAAAAGGAAAGAACAGTAGACTCTGTACTTCTATGACACTAACTTATAAACATGTAATCTTTAGTGAAAACCATGCAGAGTCTTCCATTATGATTAAAGAAGAAACCACCAAGGTTGTAACTGGTAAAGCATTACCAATCATAACAGCTGCAGGTATATTCAAAGGAGAATGCACTGGCGAACATTGAAAAAACACACAGGTTGGGGAAAAGAACAGCTGCAAGCAAGTATAATAAGGCCAACAAGATTACAGAAAGGCAAAATGCTAACTGTTAAGATGCTCCTCTTACTTATATCTTCTTATTTTAGAAAATGCAAAATATGCAAGGCATCGGAACCACAAAAATATCAAATGGCTGCACAACACCTTGCAAGAAATTAACAATCTAACAAATACATTTGTGATTTTCTTTTGGGACATAGTCAATCAAATAAGAAGTCAGCAATTCAATAAGAATACAACATCAGAGATGTAGATGGGTTAAGGGTGCCATGTTGAAAAAGGACTAAAAAGGATAAGACCTCTTATAATGTATATTCATTAAAGATTAACAAAGAGAATAACAAAGAGGGGCTAAAGTCTTACCTTAGCAACTGGTGCCATCTCAGCAGCGATATGAACAACATACAACCCTGGGCTAAAGATCAACAAAATGGACAAGTTAAAAAGCAGCAGTAATGCAGTAAAATTGACTAGTTAAAGCTAAGTACCTAGCTGGTGATGATGTCAGCCGGAGAAATGTAGATACAGCTTCACTCTCATTCTTTTCTTTGCATGCCAAATATGCATCACAAATGTGTTGATCCCTCTTCCACACCAATTCTCTCAACAGCTTTGCATCAGTGTTTGATATTTTCTTCTCAAGCACCCAACCATCAATGGTAAGCAATAAACGGCTCCAAAATTCCCAAGGCATATCATCAACTGGTTCATTTGATGCCCTTTTCTTGCTTTCTTCTATCAAACTGTCTAGGGTGTCCTGAAATTCCTTTACAGATTCTTGATATAATTGGACATATGAATGTATCTCTTGGTCAGACTTTTGAAGACGCTCCTCTAGTAGTTTCATCTTTTGCTGCATGAGTTCATTATATTGTTGCATTTTCTCAGATGACACCTTAAAGACATTAGCCTCTTCAAGAGATTCTTCCAATTTATCAACCTTCTTTCGAAGATCCTGGTTTTGCTGTAACACTAAAATGGCTTGATCAGCCTGTTTAGTTGCCTTATCCAGCAAGAGTTGCAAATTTTCTACCTTTGCCCATAGGTCCTTGCATTCAACCTTTAGGGTAGAAATATTTGAAGAGTCTTCCTGAGAAACCGACAGTTTAGACTCCAACTCCTTTAGAGAGGACTGTAAAAAAGAGCGTTCATTTTCCAGTGTTATCATGCGTTCATCGGTGTTCTTGACATTGCTAAGCATAGACTTAAGTGCTTGGATATCATTTTTTAGGGCTAGATTCTCTGTCTTCAATGAATCAACCTCCTTGCTAAGAGAATGAACACGACCATCACGTGCTAAAAGTACTTCCTCATTTGAAATTTTGTTTTGATTCTGAGACAATTCAAGCTCACTTTTCCCAGAACCTCCCCTGTGAATCAGCTCATTTCGTAACTTCTCTAACTGATCTTCTAGGAGCTCCACATGTATCTTTTCTTGGCAAGCAACTTTAATCTGTGCATCAGCTTCTGTCAGTCTCATTTCCAAAATGTTAATTTCTCCTTGCAATGTCTCCTTCTCACTGAGAATCTTATGAAGATCTTCTAATGCATGAACCCGAGCTTGATTGAGAAGAAGGATATCTACATATTTAGACACAAATGTATATGACGATCTTAATGAAAATCACACAAAGGTTCCTACCAAAATGAGTATTACATAAAAATAAATTCAAGAGTTTCTTAACAGCAAGATATCCTACTTCTCTCTGCATTTTTTATCATGCCTATCAGGTCCTCTAGTTGAACACCTGAGAGCTGCTCTCCACCATCTCTGTTTATGGCCTGCATAAGAGAAAATGGCTTATAAATATTTTGAATTTTAACCTTCAATTTACATAGTTCCTATTAAGAAAAAAGAAAGCAGGACAGGAAGTATATGACCATGTATAGCTAACAGTTCCATAAATAAATAATTGTTTCTCCCAAGACTTGATATGTCCATAACTCTAACCTAAAATGAAATCACTTTCATCAAAGCTCCAGGATACTCAACCAGATAATACATCAATAAAGTATTCAGATCACTGCTTGAAGAGTAACAGTAAATAATGCATCTTAACAGCCAAAAAAATTCCAGAATGGCAATTTTGATATTAAAATAGCTTATAAAAATCTTAATTAACAAACTTCAATAAAGATATAATTATTCCATATAATGCATTGAATTTCTGGAATTTATGCAGCACCACTGATAACTTAAAATTATGATAATTGCTGGAACACAAAAAATAAAGCAATGGTAAATGTGTTCAATTATTTTTCCCACTTTGCCACCATTCTATAAAAGTTCACAAAGATAAAACAAATCAAATCAAAATATCTATACAGATAAAACAATAAGCATCACCCGCCAACACAATCTGCATCCAGATTTAATGCAGGCTTATTGGTAAATGAAAATACCAAAGCTTTTGTTACAGCAGGCAGTGTGAGGCTGTCCATAATCTGTTCATCGGTATGCTCCATATCTCTGTTAGTATCAATGGCAGAGACAGATAGAGTGCCCAAATTCTCTTCATCAATATGCTTCACATCTACCCTAGTGTCAGCATCATCTTTACAAGTAGTTTCATGATTTCCAATATGCTCCATATCTACACTATTTAGGACAGAATTTTCAGGGTCAGATTCCTCCTCGCTATTTGGCTGCAACTTTGCACTTGTTGGAATCCGCACAGAAGGAGGTTTCTTTCCTTGTTGTCTTTTATGATGTGAACTGCATGAATATCAGTAGCAACATCAAATAAATCGATCATATGTCAATAGGAATACATAAAAGATCCCAACGCGTCTTCTAGTTGCTGAGAATATAATTTATATGACGTAAATATTCACAATTTTACAATAAGTATCAAATTACCACGGTCATTATTACTCAAGCTCATTTACCAGCCCAAATTTGTTACTAATCCGCCATTAATTTGCATTGCAAAATCAAAGCCTACCAAAGAATGTCGAGGTTTCGCTAAATTAGGGCCAAATGAAGTTCAATTCAATAAAAAATTTCTCAAAAGCAAAATGAACAGAGCCTTAAAAACAGATTAAACAACAAAGGAGAGCCAGAATCGATCTTTTAAAACCGCTATGGATACAAGAAAAGTACCTGAGATTACGTTGCTGCATCTTACAAGAAGCTGGAAGTAAGCGACGAGAAGGCAAGAACAATAACCTTAGATTTACATTCTTATTATAACTATTAACATTATTTTCGTTATTATTGTTATTCAAACCGATAAAGCCATGGCTGAAAAAGCAGGTCGATAGCTGCAAAGCCATGTTTTCTCTTTTTTCTTTTTGTTTGTTTGGAATGCGAGAAAAGGCTCGCTCTCTCTCTCTCTCTCTCTCTCGACGGGTTTATAGAAAAAAATTAGGAAGGTAAACAAAAACTAAAGAATAAACGTTTTCTTCTGCTCAAGGTTAAGTTACTGCCTCGAACCGGAAGCTTAGCATAAAAATTTTTGAAATTTTACAAAATAAATATCAGAAATGCTGATAATATCTTACTGGACCGGAGAGAACGGAGTCGGCCGTGGAGTCCAGTGGCATCTTCTCGTTGAATCTTTATTTTACGACAAATCAAATGATAATATGGTAAGTTGTACGTGTGAGTGTTTGGAGTTTAGGACCCATATCCAAATCGAACGGACGAGGATTGTGAAGTGGGTTGTGGGCAGTGACTATCAAGTAATTTATCTGATAGGGCTAATGTGATGGATGCTGATGGAATGTGATCGCACTGGAAGTTTTATGTTAGTGAAAATCATATATAGAGCCCCAGGTGGCATATTCAATATAGGAAGCTTACGAGGATTGAGATCCCCGTTTTTGGAGAAAATGACGGGATTTAAATCATAAATTAAATGGTACATTCCATCGGCTTACAAACGTAAGATTTAATATAGTATATGTTTATTATCAATTTTATACTTTACAATTATTTGTTATCTTTCACGATAATACGTAATTTTGTAATATCGAATGTCGTTCTTTTTCAATTTTTTATTTTTTATGCAATTTTCATTTGTTTGTTTTTTTCATCTAATTTTTAGTTGATATAAGTGAATGAAGCCCAATTGGTCCTCAAAGCCCAAAAATTAAGGCAAATTTTACGGGAAAAGTATTGCCACCTTTCGGCCCAAAAAACAATATGGGAATATATTGCAATGGCGGCGCTGAGGCTGTGGCGCTGGTAGAATAATGAGCAAAACGCAGCAGAAGTGAGGGAAACGACCGGAGTTTATATCGTTGTAACTCCATTTGCAGTACTTTTTTTCTCCTCTTCTCCCGTCAAAATCTTCTTTCTTAATTGCGGCGATAATATTTTCAATTTTTACATTCTTTTTGAAATGCCAATTACAGTGCAAATTTCCAATTCCTTGAGATACCTGGATTTCAAAACATCCAATTCAAATTTCCTCTCTCAATCCTTCTTAATTATCTGTTTCAACAATAAAATTTTAAATCAAATCTTTTACTCAGATATTTCTTCTTATTTGCCTCAGAATTCCTGCACACGTAATTTCGTTGAAAAAGCTCAAGAAATGGAGAAATGCAATGGCGTTTGCTTCACCAATTTATCTTCAAATCATCCAATCACTTGTTTCATGGCATTTACTACAATTATGTTATTTCGAGTTCTTTACGTGATTTACCGAACCGGCATGCCGCTAGGTAAAAGAGCTACGCCGCAGTCTTTCAGCACTCTCATTGTTTTAGGTTCAGGTGCGCCTCAAATTTTGTTTATCCATTTTCTTATGTGCCTTTGATTTTAAGATGTTTGACTATGATCGTTGGATTTTGGTTTCACGGTATAGGAGGACACACGGCGGAGATGATCAATCTCTTGTTAGTTTTGCAAAAGGACAGGTTTACGCCGAGGTTTTATATCGCCGCTGCCACTGATAATATGAGTCTTCAGAAAGCTCTCGTGTTGGATAATTCCTTCGCTGCATCGGTAAATTTTGCAACTTTAATTTTTCATTCTGTTATCAGTTGCTATTAATATTTTTTATTGCCTTTTGCCCTTTCTTTCTATCGAATTGAATTTGTTGGATGTGATTTCTTTATTCGTAGGAAAACCTAATACTATTTATATATTATTATTTAATGAAAATCCGTTGAATTATTTATCAATGATTTTGATATTCTTGTTGGTACTTAGTACGTCTCATTGTATGTGAATGTTGTTAATTTTCGAAGTATTTGATTAAATTAAAAGCGACTATTTTTTGGAATGTGTGTTTGTATCACAATTGAATTTGCATGATAAGCAATGTTCTAAATCTTTCACAATTGAGAGCCTAATTGCAGACCCTCATGTGTGATGTATCGAACAATTTAGACTAACTCTACATTGTCGGGAAAGCTAGATCCAATAATATATTACTGGCATTAGTATTTTGCTGATGCATTATTGTAAGTTTCTTGGCTGTCAAGTCTTTGTTTTTGTGGATTTTCTTGCCTGATATCCTACATTAGTATTAGTTCTTTTTTGCTATCTTTCTATTACTCTTAGTTTGTAAAATATAAAGTTGTAATTGATTTAGCATTGGACAGAGGACGTGTTTTCTGTAGGTTTGCTTCTTATTTAGAAGTCAAACTGCTTTTCATAATCATTTCCCTGTTTTGCTGGTCATATAAGAGGTTTCCTTAACTTTGTTTCAACTGCAGAGTGGGTTCAAGGGAATCTCTGCAGAGTTCATGCAGATTTATAGAAGCAGGGAAGTTGGTCAATCATATGTAACCTCTGTTTGGACAACTTTAGTTGCCATTGCTCATGCATTTTGGCTGATGATTAAAATCAGACCGCAAGTGGTATTTTTCTGTTTCTGTTCTGTTTAACTTTTTTTCCATAGAATTTTGTTGCTTTTACTTAAAAAATGTGCTTGAATCAAATTTCTTGGTATAAACTTTACTTTAATTGCAGGTTCTTTGCAATGGCCCTGGTACTTGTATTCCTCTATGTGTAATTGCATTCTTTTTCAAGGTTTGCATGTTTCCCCCCATGCCATTCTATTTTGCATTGCCTTTCTTTCTTTAATAAAACTGATGGGATCTTTCCAACCGAAGAAAAAATGAAGAGGATAAAGTTACATGCATAAATATCTCTACATATAAGAAAATTGGAGTTAGCCATTTTTTCTTGTAAATTTTGGTTACAGGTAGCTGGAATTAGATGGTCATCCATCTTTTATGTTGAGAGCATTGCAAGAGTAAAAAGGCTCTCTTTAAGTGGTTTGTTGCTTTACAAGTTACGGATTGCTGATCAGTTCTTTGTGCAATGGCCACAACTGCAGAGAAAATACCCTCGAGCTCATTATGTTGGTTGCCTGATGTAGTTAATTAAGTCTGCTTCTAATGGGTACTCTCACTTAACCTCTATTTTTTTTTTTTAATATTGTATCCTACACTGTAAAGTTTCATTTTCTCTTTCTCTTTGTTAGGATTTTAGTATTTCCGTGTTCGGTTGGGTTGATTACTGGAACATGATTTAATGTGGACCATGATAGTTTACAAAGAAAGACAATGATAGAACGTGATATTGATTATCTAAAATTTTTTATACTAACATTACAGTTGCACTTGTTAATCAATAAACTGCTAGCATATCATTTCATGGTCTGAATGTTAGATGATTAAATTTGTTGGAAAGAACTGATTAGGAATAAGTTTCTAATTCAACTTTTGTTCCTGTGATTTTTAAAATTTATTTCTTAATATGATCAAATTCCTATGTAGCTTGGATTCAAAATTCCAACTCTTTCTCCTCTAACTTTGCGTCATTTTAAGGATGCGAGCAGCCTGAGTTGGGTTAAATGCTTATTATTGTGCTTATCTGGGACAAACATGTATTATGCAAACTTAGCATGATCTTATCTTTTTTTTTTTAGCTTGGCTGGAACACTGAGGGTTCCTTATTTTATAAGGGGAATAATCAATATATGTCACAAACTAGCAAGGAATTATAGCATATAAGGGAAGCTTGAGCAGCTTCAGTCAAGTTCATTTCCGAGCACTCCCTCTTCCGTTTGAGATATAGTGCCTATAGACTATAGTCAGGACATATTCTCCGGTTTCAAGGATTTTGAATAAGCCTGATTAACGGCCTCGACTTGATTTGTGAACTATGAACTTCAATGAACCCCATGATATGTTGATCTTTAGTGAGTTTAGCTTGAGTTCACGAACATTGTTGTTTGTTTGATGAACGTAAACATGTTTCTTTTCCTTATTTCACACATCAATAGTTTGATTCTTAGATTCATTTGTCTAATCTTCCCTGTCACTTTGGAATCTCTCATTGTTTTATGGTGTCTTTTTTTCCTTTTGTATTGACTTGCTCATGCTTTTAGTTTTATGTACACCCCGTTACTAAATGGGGCTAGTTAGAGAAAATTAGATATTTATTTTCTTCTCCTATACCAACTAGCATGGTCTAGCTTGGTGCTTTAGTTAAGCCTAAATATCACTGTACTTCAACCCTAGCCATTTTGGATGAAATTATAATGGAAGTGAAGAAATACATGCGAAGTACCAAATTGTGTGTGGTTTGCTAGTGCTATTTTGGAGTTTCGAATCTATGACTTTGCATGGGGAAGGATTAAGAAAGATTCCTTTTGAGGTTGTATTTCTTGTTTTGCAGAAAATGACAATCTCATATAGAACCATGTGCACCCAACTTATCCATTAACTAACCTCTTCAAGTAATGGACTCTTTGAAACTTCACTGCTACTTTTATATTCACTCTTGGAGCTTTTATTATCAAGATAGCACTGATAGACATATGAAACAAAGCCCCATATAGCCAATACCATGGCAATTGCCTTTATTGCATCCATTTTGTCATGGAAAAAGATCTCAGCTAGAATTGGAATAACAGGCAAACCCAAGACACTTATGGCATTGGAGAAGAGAGAGGACACTTTGAAAATCAATCCTATTGCCCCAACAACAAAAAACTGTGAAGCTATAGCTGTCTCAATCAGGGTCATTACATAGGAAAATTTACCCAGTTCAAACTCCTCCATTTCTATTGACGAACCTTTCCATTCCCCGCTGGTGAAAAGTCCCATTATGGCAGTAGAGGTGGCAACCAGTGACTGATATATCACCATTTCAAAGACCTTTGCATGTGCTTCTCCTTTTAGAAGCTTATTGAAGGAGAGTTGTGCTAAAGAAAGCATCAAGCCATACCCTGCAGATGCACCGATTGTGCATAGGAATCCAATTGCATATTTTCCTTTAGAGGCTTCACTGTGGCTAGATGGGTCAGTTTGAAATATCAGGAGGGTGGAGGAGATGGTTGGTAGAACTAGTGAATTGATTATAAAAGGAGTGAACTTTTGTGAATGAAGGAAGAACGAGAAGAGAGCATTGAAGGCCAACTGGGATGCACAAATGAGAGAAAAAGTTGATACTGGAAGGTGTAAGAGTCCTATAGAATACATCAAGCTATACGCTGCTAGGCATATACCAAAAGAGAAATAGACTAAAGCTAGTAACAAGGCAGATGGCTGCTTTGTTTGCCCATTTGTGGTGCAACTTTTAGGTGGTGAGAGGCAGTAACAAGGAATGAGGATTGGGAAGCCTGCAAGTTGCGCAAGCATAGCTACCCATATGCTATTCCCACCTTTCTTGTAGTATAGGCGTGCCAAGAGTGTGGATGCTGACCGGCCAAAGATTACAAAGAATGCATACATGATGATACAGATCCACCACTTATAGTTTCTGGGTTCAGGGCTTGTCAGTTTCTTGCTATTCAGATACTGAGGTGAGTTTTCTTCCCTGATTTCTTTGACTGTTGGCAACTATAGCATAATTGTTAATCCAAGGAATCTTAACTGATATGTCAAATGAGGTTTTTTTTTTTTTTTTTTTTTTTTAATTTGGAATCTTCTACAAACTCGATGTGCTGTATTACACTTCAAAGAATAAGAATCTCTGCCACTGAGTTTCCCTCCTAGCTTAAAAGTGGAGGAGCCTTGGTTTTATATTCATGATTGTGAAGTGGAAATTGAGGAGGTATAAAAAACAGTTAAACTATAAAGAGTAATTAAATTTGGGATAGTGCAAATTTTTTAGGTTTTAATTTGGTTGTTTAATCTTTGATTGGAAAACAAACGGCCAAGAAAAAATTTTGATGATCTGCAAATTAAACATTTAACTTTGATGGATAATAATAAGAAAATGGTTTTATTTCTGTGTGACCATGTACAAATTATCTACGATGAATTATAAGGGCAGGAGATTATGGCTTTGATTTTGGGACCTAAAACCATATGGCTAGAGATGATACCAGAGACTTGGCTTACTTGCTACAGTTTAACAAAGAAAATGAATAAAAAAATGTCTTACTAAAAAATGGTACAGAAAAGAGAAAAAAAATGATAAAACCATAAAATGAATTTTGTAGTTTGCTTCCCTGATCTTCATGTGTGTTGTAGCAAGCTGACTTACCAATGATGTGGAGTAGCAGTTCTTAAGGTTTCCCCATATCAAAGTTGAGGAAGTTTCAAAAGCAGCCAGCCAGGCAGGGAGGAAGGAGAGAGGGAGGAGAGTTTATAACGAAAAAAGAATGTAAATATATATACCAGCTAATTGTGGATGGCAATCCAAGTTCTCTTCATTGCCCTGAAAGAAAAGAATCCTTCCATTCATATGAAGCACGATTGTTTGTAACGACACAAATTGGACGTGGCTGATGATGATGATGATGATGGGTATATGTCCATAGGATTTGTGCAGACATGAATCATGTGCATGTTTGAATTTGATGGGTCCGCGGTGACTGATAGAGACGTGAAAATTTTGCCGGAATTGCAGGCAATTTTGAAGAATATGGTTAATCCAGGCATGGCTTTATCAAGATCAATTAGTTTGCAATCAATAATTACTACGTTATTTGCAATATTTACAGCTTCATGACAACAGGAAAATCATATGCATTATCAAAGGCATCAGTCAAGATCATGCAATTAGTGGATTGATTTGACCATTTTATTTTATTCGGTACATCTTGATATCTTACACGCTGCTAAGAAATAGCAGTAAACTAGTATCATTGTTTTCTTTGCTACATATCTTTGATACGCCATGAAGCTCATGTCTTCAACCAGAGGAAGCTCTTAAAGCTTGATTATTGACATTTATGTCTTTTTGTTCACTTTCAGACTCATGGCTATCTAGATAATGCTGGTAGGCATATGAAAGAAAGCCCCAGAGAGCCAAAAACATGGCAACTACCTTTATACAATCCATTTTGTCACGCAAAAAGATAACAGCAAGAATAGGAACCACAGGCAACGCGAAAACAGTTACGGAGTTGGCGAATAAAGAAGACACCTCAAAAAGCAGTGCTGTGCTTCCAATAGCAAAACCTTGCCAGAATATACATATCCATACTAAAACCATGATATACGATATCTTTCCTAGTTCAAATTCTTCCATTTCTCCCTTTAGACCTTTCCATTCTCCACTAACAAGAAGTCCCACCAGGATTGCACTTGCTGCTACCATGGACTGATAGACTATCATATCCATGACTGCTGAAAAAGTATCCCTTTTTATGACCTTCCGAAAGCAGAACTGTGCCAAAGAGAGTTCAAATCCATTCACAGCAGATGCAAGAATGGTGCATATGAATCCGATTACATGCTTTCGTCTTGAGACTCCCTTGGGAGTTGAAGAGTCTTCATGAGACACAAGGAGGATGGAAGAGATGGTGAGAAGGATCAGAGAATTGACTATGAAAGGAGTGAACTTTTGTGAATTGAGAAAATAGGAGAAGAAAGCATTGAAAGCTAACTGGGATACAGAAATGAGGGAATATGTAGACACTGGAAGGTATCGCAATCCAGTTGAGAACAGCAAGCAATATATTGCTACAAGCAGGCCAAGGCAGACATAAACTGATGCAAGAATCATGGTTGATGGTGGTCTTGTGTTAGTACTCGTTGCAGTTGAATTTTTTAGCGTTGAGAAGAAATAGTAAAGAATGATAATTGGGAAGCCTGCCAGTTGCATAAGTGTTGCCAACCATTGGCTCTTTCCACCTTTGTCAAAGTACAGTCTTCCCAACATTGTAGCAATTGACTGGCCAGAAACCACAAAGAGTGTATACAAACCTATACGTAGCCATCGCTTATAGTTTTGGGGTCTAGGCACTATCGATTGATTTGAAACCTCCATATGTTCCTCCGATTTCACATCTTCAGTCTCCTGAACTGGTAAAAATACACAAAGGATCGACTTAGGGAGCATTGATCAGTGCATGTGATGAACTTGATTTTAGCTAAACACTCGAATCTGTAATATGTTATTTGGTTTTCTCTTTTTGTGCATGAACACAAAACTAAAAGAGTAGGTGGGTGCTTTGTAAGTTCTCATATTTGTTATGCTTTTTAGCTTTTAGGCTATCAGATCTTTATTTTGGATATCAGAAGTTTCTATATTTTACTTTTTGTAACAGATCAGATGTCAGAGCACACAAAGCAGTAAGCGCTTGCAGATAAATGGTATGTATTCCAGAAAAGTTTCTGGAATTTTGAGTAATAAATGATGTAGTTTGCTATTGCAACTTGATCATGTTGTTAGGACATCTTTAGGTATATATTCACGGTAATAGTAACACCTAGAGATGGATTTCTCTGCTATATGTACTTACTGAGAGGGAATCAAAAGTTATAGTCAGTACTCACTTCCTGTAGCCTAGTTCAGGTGTAGAACTAAAGAAGCGAATAAGAAGTCATATCTCAGACAAAAAGGAAAAAAAGGAAGGAAGAAATGGCATAACGCTGGCTAACCTGGGATCGAGTGTTGCAGTAGCTCAGCTTCTCCCATGTCAAAGACGATGAATATTCTTCAAGATCAAGTTATGGGGAAAGAAGAGTGAAAGAGATGTTATATAGACTTGCACTCGAATGACAATGAGCCATGTAAATGCATGGCTTGCCTTTTCGAACGCAAATGGGGAATCATCCCAAAAGGACCTCACTCAATTTTTCAATGGACCCATCCTCCACTGAAGGTGCAGCACAGTTAGAAATCAGAATGGTCTCCACCGTGTTGTCTTTGCTCACCAAATGGGGTGTGTGGCGCAATTGGAGACCCAGTTACGCCGCATTGGGGCTCCGTTTGTATCAAAATGAAGCCTCACGATCTGCTATCCGTTGTTTAGCACCATCCTTTGTTGCACCCGCAGAGCCAAAAGAACAAAGCAGAAAACAGCACCGTATCTCTTTTCCCCTTTGTCTAGCCAATAAGCCCAAGGAATAGGTTCCCGATAAGATGGCCCTAGGTGAGATTCCCTTAAGATAATATACATGCATTATTATAATAATTATATGATGATTTCAGCCTCAGGAAAGAGGAGCTAAGCATTCTTTTAATTACAGGGGCGACGGCTCAACGTTTGGAGTTTAAAACTTATTATTTGGAAGTTTCAAATCCGAATCTTACAAGAAAATTTTTCTTTCGGCTGATATGAAAATTCAACCAAGTGCACTTGCTTCAGCTTCGGTCATTCACAACAATTCATCAATAATTTTCTGTGATAACGTAATCTTCTTTTGTCTACTTTGGTTATGTTTTTTTCTTAAAACATCAGGTTTCACCTATTTTATTCATCAAGTTTAGTGGCCAAATTTAATCAAAAATTCAAATTTAGTGACAAAATTCAATTAAATTAAAGTAAATGGACAAAATTCAATATTGAGATTATCAGCCCTTATTCCCTTCATTTTACTAATCCAGCAACGAGCTTTTTTTTTTTTATTATAAAGGCATACCTAACACAATAGAATAGTGCATATTTAGTGATTCAATTTGTTATGCGAAGAGAATCCGAACAAAAATTTCAATATATTTCTGGACTATTTACGTGTTGGATCGAGCATACGATTGGAGTATTATATATATACATGTGTGTGTGTTGTAAGATGTATGGCTTAGCATATAGCAAAACAAAACCTTGACCCAGCGGAAAACGAAATATAAAATAAAATAAAAATACAGGAAGGAGATATTAGGTGAAAGGAATTAAACTTTGCTTTTTCCATAATTTACACATTTGGAAAGTGGTAGGAATCCAGTAACAGGCGACCCCTGGCAGATACAGAAGAAGCATGATACTTCATACATATTGTTTTGCTGGAAGGCTATGGCAGATACAATATGCTGTAACCCCTCTCAGCAACGTGTTTCAAGCAAGCATTCAGGCTTTCTAACAGCTGGAAATTGTGAACCTAAGCTCCAATCTCCATCACAATTATTAACCAACAGATTATCCTAGAGGATTGATTAACTTGATAGGAATTTGTTTGCCCAGCTATAACCTTTAATTAACAGAGACTGCTAGAGAAAAAACATAGAGGTATTTGAGTGGGCAGTCTTACCATTCATTCATAGAAGCTAGGCTCTGTTATCTGAATGAATAACCTCTCCAAGGGTGCAACCTTCAGAAATTTCACTGGCTATTCTGTTTTCGATCTTCGGCTTTTGATGGTCAAGATAGTGCTGATAAACATAGGAAATGAAGCCCCAAATAGCTAGCACCAGGGACATTCCCTTTATTCCGTCCATTTTATCATGGAAAACGAAGACAGCAAGTACTGGTACAATAGGCAAACCAACTGTACCTATGGCAATGCTGTAGAGGGAAGACACCTCAAAAATTAATCCTACCGTACCAATAGCAAAAACCTGCCAACTTATAGCAGTCCAAACCACAGTCATGACGTAGGAAATTTTCCCCAGAGCATATCCCTCCATTTCCCTCTTCAATCCCTTCCAATCTCCGCTAGCAAATAATCCCACCGCTATAGTGCATGATGCAACCAGTGATTGAAATACTATAACATCAAGGATAACTTTAAATGTTTCCCCCTTTAGTAGCTTTCGGAAGGCGAGCTGCTGTGAAGCAAGCGCCAAGCCGTACACTGCAGCTCCACCAATGGTACATATGAACCCGCTTGCATACTGTCCTTTAGAGACTCCAGCAGGCTTTTCAGTATGATTATTTGCTACTAGGAGAACAGAGGAAATAGTGAGGAGAACTAGAGAATTGATGATGCATGGAGTGAACTTTTGTGAATTAAGGAAATAAGAGAATAAAGCATTAAAGGCCAACTGGGATGCTGAAATTAGAGTAACTGTAGATACAGGAAGGTACTGTAAGCCAACTGAAAAAAGAAAGGCGCTTCCAGCTACAAGTAGCCCGAGAGGTACATAGACCAATGTTAACAGTTTCAGGAAAGATGGTGGATTTGAGTCGATAATGTTGTTTGCAATGGAAGATTTGCGTAGAAGAATGAAGTAGCAAGGAATTAGAATTGGGAAACCACCAAGTTGGGCAAGTGTTGCAAGCCACTTGCTACTCCCACCTTTGTCGAAGTAAAGTCTTCCGAGAATTGTAGCTACAGACTGGCCACAGAGGAGAAAGATTGTGTAGAGAACTATCCGGAGCCACCATCTGTAGTTCTTAGATCGAGATCCTCTTATGTGGTTGATACCATTTGTTTGCTCGGTTGAATTTTCTTTATTAGCTTCTTGATCTGCTAAATGTAAAACGATTATTACTTCTTTATCAGAGTCACATTACAGTCAGGCCTGCAGCTTACACATAATTGTAGAAAACAGAAATTATATACGGTGGCAACTGAAAACATGAATGCTATATTCCATGGATAGAAACAAATTTGGAGTTGTTAGGAAGGAAGACATGTTTCAAGGTAGTTGAAGATTTGATCTTACATTTCAGTAGAAAAATTTGGTCAAGGAGAGCAATGAACAATATCAAATGTCTGCAATTACCCAACTCTCTCAGTTGCACATTTTTCTTGGGAGAAGAGAAGTGCAGAGAAACACGTTACAATTGACTTGCTTTTCATTTGGATAATCGAAAATTTTATTCCAATATCCAAAGAAAGCACAAACATCTGCTACAAAGTTTATAAAACTGGGATTAACCCAGAAACACCAGCCCTTAGATCATTTTTTAGTACAAGAGAAGAACTAATACAAGCTATCTGTCATGTTATTGACTTTTTGTAAGCATTCTAGAAAACCAGCCAACTTACCAGTGATTTCGAGTTCTAACTGAACTTCTGCCATTTCTAGCAAGCTAAGCTAAATGGGATTAATGCTGAAAATTCAAGCCAAGGATACAAAAGATCAGAGACGATCTTGCAGCCAAATTAGAATCAAGCATGTGAATTTAAATACTGGGCTAGTTCTCATATCTGATATCAGTGACATGACATTGACGGTAATTAATGTGCTATTAATCCTAGCTGCCTCCTATGTCCAATTGCTACTCTTTCTCTATGCAAACACTTTTTATTTTTCTTTGTAATAATAAAAAAAATACTACTATAATAACTTGAACCTATGCCATTTTTTAAAAGACTTATATGAAATTCTTTAGATAAGGTTTGTGAAATTTTTAATTAAAATAATTAAATTAAAATTAAAATTAATAAATTGAAAGGTTTGTTATATAAATCAAGTGTGTAAACTTTTTAAAAAAATTTAATAATTTTAATATATATTTTTAAATAAATATTTTTAATAAAAATGTTGACATAATTTTTATTATTAAATAAGTTTGATCAAATTTAAATTATAAATAATTTTTTTAATAATTTTTTTTACATATTATTAATTTTTATATTAATTTTTATTAAATTTTCAATTTTAATTTTTAATTTAAATTTATTCATTTTTAATTAAAAATTTCATAAATTTCACTTGAAAAATTTCATATATATCTTTCCCTGTCATCTTTTCACTTGACAAAAGCATTTAATTATTTACCCGGAAAAAATGAACTTTTGAGTTTAAAGCAGCATGATCATAGTATAACTTTTTATAATTAAGAAATTGTCATTGATGATGGCTAAATGTGTTTTCATGACATGATAAAGGGTACAACAATAAACTGATTGAAATTAAAAAAAAAAAAAAGGGATAGGTATTTTGGGAGCCGACTTGGGGCAACTTAAAATTGTAAAGGTATATAAATTAATTTTAATTTGTTGGCATTACTTTTTTTGAGCTATTATTTCTAGGCATCTAGATTGGAATTAAAATTTCATAGTATTTTCTTTTAGGTGGAAGCCTAAAATTTAAAAAATAATAATAAAAAATTGTACAGGTTGAAGATCGAATATATATTATTTATTGTAAATTACAACGTGACTAACTATTTTCATTTTAGTCCATTCAATTATGGTCTAAAATTTTAATCACATAATTTCACCAACTTTTACTCATTTTTGTCACTGATTAAATTGTTCCTCCTACCTTTTTCTTAACTAAACCATAACCTTTTTACAGTTCAAATTTAATCAGGTCCAACAAAAATGGTCAGGATGGATGGGTCATTTTTTATAATATTTTATTATTTTTTATTATATCATTATATATTATAGTTCCTAGTTGAAAAAAAAAAAAAAAAAGCTGATCGGCCTGCCCAAAAAAAAAAACCAAAAAATAAATGTGAGGAATGAACCCTTTATATATAGTAATATGATTAGGCACATAGGAGTTAGTAAAACAATTTTTGAGAAAAAAAAATAAAATAAAGTGACATATATTTATCTTCTTTAATTCTTGAATGATTGATCAAAAAGATTCCCTTATGAATAAAATAATGAGAAAGTAAAGTTTCCATTAATCAAATACGTACTGCATCATCCATCACTTTATGTAAAACCTACTCTCACTCTTACAAATAATCTAACAAAGGAAAATCATTGCTGTTTCAAGTTTTGTTTTATATTTTGTAAGTTTACGACGAGATGTCGTAGGCGAGGGAATTAGATAAGCATTTAAAAAAAAAGATATAAAAATTAATCCTCATAATCATATGATAATATTAATAAGAAAGGGTACTAGTTTGTCTGTTTAAACTAAGTATTTTATTATTGATGTAATAAATAAAGGAAAAATTAAAAAATAGAGTTGGAACATGAATGAGATGCAAGAATAACATTTGTAGAGTATTATATTTAGTTCAATTTTCATTATTATCTCAAACAGAGTATTTATTTTTTTAACATAAAATAAAATAAAATGAATTCAACATTTTGTTGGTTTAGATTATTAATTTTGATAATCAGTATTCAATTTCTGACAATTAAAATATTAATTATCAATTTATCGTCATCATTTTTATTTGCCTCTTTTTCTTCCTAATGTCTAATATATTGTATTAATGCCATCTATGAAGCTATTTTTTATACTGGGAATGAAAGAATTATTAGTACCCATTAACTTAGTTTTTTGTTGAAATATTTTCAAAATAAGTTAAAAGATATGAAAGAAAATCAATTAAATATGAAACTAGTGTAAAAATGATTTTATAAGTGTGCTTAAATCTTTTAAAAAATGTGTTCTTTAACTTATAAGGAGTTGATAATTGCATGAGTTTCAAAATATGTTAATGAAAAAAAAATTGGTTGAGTAAACAGTACAATTTGAAGAATTACAACTTTTGATAACATTCTCTATAATTTGATAAGTGAGAGATTATTCAACATACTTGATAACACAATTAGGATTTCAAGTTATATCTCACTCAGTCTTTAAAATAGATCAAGTCTCTTATCCATTATTTCATGCAAAAAATAATATATAAAAAAAATAATTTTACTATTCATTAGAAAGTGTTTAGCGAGTTGATTTCATTAATGCAAAGTAAAATTAAGTATGGGTTTCATTGTAATCTATGATTATATGATTCATTCCATTGCATATTATATATGGTGATGTCATAATAAACCTAAAATAAAATAACATTTACAACATGTCTTGAAATCATATTTTTTCATGTTATAATTTTTAATTTTAAATCCATCAAACTCATGAAAACAACGCTCTTTGAATATGAAAAAGCATGAAATAATTTTAAAATAATTAATGCAACTTCATGTTAATTGGAAAATTGCCACACATGAACAAGATAAATTGCATTGTCAATTACTTGGAAACAATTGACTTTGAAAGTTGGCGATGGTGTGAAGTGTGATATATTCAGCAATAATGGGAAATGTTGATCCATGTATACCGGCATAGAAAATTTGTTAGGTGAAATTGTAAGCCATTATATTTGCTGTTTGATTTTTTTTTTTTTTAACAGGTGGAGAGGCTTGCCAACACCGTCTTAGCCTGGCAGCAAAAAAGAAGATTTGTGAAACATGTGGACTTGGCTTAAGTTCAAGCAATCCCACCCCCATCCCATTATTAAAAAAAAAAAAAAAAAAAAAAAACTCTAATCTTTGAAAACTAGTATAATTGCAAGTGGAACTCTTATGAATTTTAAATTATTTTTCGTGATAGATTTGATTGGAGGAAATGCATATATTTCAACTTAGAATCTGGGAGGCAGATCAGCAAAGCTTATTTTACTGGAAATAATTAAAAAAAAAAAGTCTTAGTTTATTATAGTTCTTTATAAATATTATAATTATACTTTGTAGAAATCAATTAATTTAATTAATTTTCCTCTATTTTCTTAATCAATCACATGATCCTATGGCATGGAAAATTTTCAACTGACTTGGCCCTCCAAATAAGTGGAAGGGTCCCTCCTTAAATGCCTATACCCCACAATATATCTAGCTTTGAACTTATTGAAATATGGTTCCGAAATTCTTTTAGAAATGAAAGAAAATTCTATTTCAATCGACATGCATGACTTTAACAAATTTGTTTTTATTGATCATGAAAACAAAATTAAATTTTAAATAGAACCCACAAAATCAATGTATAACAAGTCGGTATACGAAGAAAGTTGTGCCGAAAACAACAAAACATAATGAAGAAACTAGAGTTTTGATTCAACGAATTAAGTTATGTGAGAATTATTATGAAACTTTAATGTAGCTTAATTATAATTTTTAATTTTAAATTGAAATCAAATTTATTCAATTAAAATATTTAAAACAAAATCTATCTATCTATCTATATATTTATATATTATGAGTTAAGATTTTATATGATTAACTCACATTAAAGTTCCACCATAATTCTCACGAGACCGAATCTATCAAATGAAAATTCAATAAGACTTTATTTGGTGAACTTTTTGCTTTTTTTTTACAAAAAAAAATAAATAAATAAAGACAAAATTAAAGTTTGAACAATCAAAATCCTAGAAATATGTAACAAAAAGTAGCTAGCGTTCACGAAACGGCGCTTAAACAAATATAAGAAAGAAAGATAAAGATTTAGACTGCTGAGTATATACAACAATTCCCGAATCATCATTATCCCTTGCCCATTTTGTTAGCAAAGTTACCCAAGAAGCTGACATAATAATCTCAACTGTTTTAGTAATGATCTTTCAAGAAAAAGAAAACTGTTTTAGTAACGATGATACGTATTGATAACTACATTACAACTCCCATTATAGAAAACTACGTAAATTGAATCAGTCAATCCCTTAATTAAAACTCTTAGATTCGCACCAATTAAATCCCGAGAAGAAGAAGTAA